TACTTCATGATCGGTGAGTGTTCGTTGATTTTTAATAAAAACACTCCCACTTTGCTCTGTCTTGGTCTGTCTTATTTCTCACTGATTGTGACCAGTGGAAGTAAAACTTCACTGCAAAATCTATAACACGCAAATTTGTTACAGGTTGTATCAAATCTAACTTTTTGTGCTCGTGACGGTGTAATTAACGGCCTCTATGACCTTGTGTGCAGAGAGACACTATGTTCACGAAATGCACTTATTTAAATCTCTCGATTTATTTCACTGTTTGCTTTATTCATATTTATTCGTATTTATTCGTATTAATTCGTATTTATATTCTCAGTTAATTAGTCTGAACTCGGACAAAACATCTATTTACGATTCAGCGAAGAACCCATCATGGAGAAACAACAGAATATCCGTCCACCCTTTGTACAACATTTCCTGCACGGTCTTCGCGCATCTATCACTTTCATTCACCGACTTTGCAAATCAATGGCAGTCGCCCCGCGTCTCGTCGGGAAGAATGGCGCCATCGCGTCGAGTCCATAAACACTCTTTCGACGGGAAGTACGGCACGCAGGGATCCAGACGGAAGAGTGTTGTTCTTGCTTAGGACCCTCGCCGCACTGATTTGTCAGCAGCGCTACATTAGCCTGGTCGGAAGGGCCAATAAAGCGCTTGCCGGGTCGCGGTCGGAAAAACGGGGTTCCGGTAGGAAAACAGACGGGCTTATCAGGGCGACTCGTCCGAGCAGGAGGCGCATTGTCGGGAAAAGTTTGACGATAAGTACGGCCCGGCTCTCATATTCGCCATAATGAAGTTCGGAAAAGCATAATTTCGAGCGTCCGGTCGCGATGGATAGCCAGCGCCGGAAATTGCGACACCCGGAAAATGTGTTTTCGCCTCGGTTATTCGAGTCGCGGGGTGCGCGCACATGAATATGTGTGCGTTGCGCGTGTACACAGGATAACGAGCTCCACTTGCACACGAGGACTTAATTCGAGACAGTCTGTATAATTAATAAATATGTGAAACAACAAGTCTCCTTTCTTCGTACTCACTAAATTTCTTGGAGAGTGGAGTCTCACTCAAAATGAATGAAAATATTTTCACCCGAAGCAACAGTGAAAATACTACCGCTTGCAATCGCAAGAGTGAATGTCTCATTCAAGTTTAAAGTGAATTCATATGAGCGAATGTTTCATTCGGAGTAAATGTGTTTCTATGAAGATGGCGCCATAGAGATGTCCTACTATTCCCATCGAGAGTTACACAATTTTCCATCTTGCACATAACACTTGAGATTGAAAATTGCATAAGTAACTCTCTAGTTATAATGGCTTTAATTATGGTGATTTCAGTCTGATTCACGTATAAGGCCGTAAATCGTGTGACTTTCGATGCAAGGAATGTGGCAGGATATCCATGACGTCGTGTGTACATATTTTTAATAGGGTTTTAACAGTTTAAACGATTTTTTCATCGCATTTCAACATACAGCCCAGCATAAGAACATTGCAAATTTTTTACTAGCACATTTCAGAGTTCCCAAATAGCGCATGTGAAAATTGAAAGGATAAGAAATTACTAAAAAAACGTCGAGCTCTGTTTCTGGGTTACAGGATTCTGTAGCAATTTTTGCTACAAGATTCTCTCCGTGCAGTTTACAAAATGGTAGAACGACTTTTCTGTTCAGCTTAACGAGAGTATACGAACGGTCGGACACCAAAACACCCTGTATATACGTGGTAAACGAGTAAAGATCTTCGCAGTAATAATACGGCGAGAGGGATCTCCGTATTTTCGTTCGATGTCGGTCGGACAGCGTTATTGCTGGCATTTGTTACCATTTCGGGCCGTAATTGCTCGTAGGATTAGCGATTTGTCAATTAGACCGACTTAATTTATTTATCGTCGTATTCGCGCGACTACAATTCTTTCGAGCCCGACTTACGTGCATCCCGTGGAGTATCCGCAAACGACGCCGTGCTACATGCGCTTCCTTAACGTTCTCTTAATTTAGATATAGGATGGTAATAAGAGCACTGCGGCGAGCTGCGCCGTTCGTGCCGCCGACGAGTAAGCTGCGGTTACGCCAGCACGAAAACACCAACACGCTCTCGTGTGCGTATAGATGTACGTTCGCGAAAATAAAATCAGCCGCTCGCGAGCGATCGCGCGCTCGAATAAAAATTTGTTCTACCGCAAATGTTCAGAGAACGACATTTGCACGCGCGCGATGTGATTCAATTTGCATATAATTGCAACAAAAATCACGATAATGATCGCGAAGTCCGAATTTATCGCCCCGACGCTTGTTTATCCAGATTGTGCGTGAACCCCGCGACGCTTCGCTTCTCTCTCTCTTTTTTTTGCCCCCGAAAATAAATCGGGTGCGGGGACAGAAAAAAGGCCGCGTTGCGCTGAAAGATTTACGCCGTAATGGAGTGGAAAAAGCGAAATGCCGTCCGGCCGAGAGAGCCGAAACTCGCGGCGGAAGTCCCGGGACGCGATATTTATGCTAAAACCGCGTGGTGTAGCGTTAGCGCGATGGGAACCGATCTCGCCGTGAACACGGCTCGACACTCAGCGGCCACTCTGGGGGATCCCGGGGCCTCGTCGCGCTCTCCATCGCGACGTAATGCGTGTTTACCGCGGCTGCACGCACTTTAGCACGTCTGGTAAATATAGCCGTCCGCGACTAATCGCCGACTAAAAGTGGCCATCGGCGAAAGCGAGCGCATTTATCGCGCTTAACAGGACAGAATCGATTCGGCTGAGAGATAATGAATTTTTTGCAAGAGGGTAAGTGAGAGAACGGCAGGGGGAGAGAGAGAGAGAGAGAGAGAAAGCGTTATTTGTCAAGCACTTTGGACTGAAACTCTCGCAAACACATAAACACTTGCAGGAAAGAACATGATAATGGCAACAGTACAGGGTGTCTGACAATTAATTAATCTGCTGTATGCTCTCTCTTGAAATGAATCAATCAAACATCACTGAAAACAGTGAATATACACTGATTGCAGTTATAAATATAGCACTGAAAGTGCTATATTCGTAACTGATATCAGTGACTATTCACTGATTCACTTTAAGACAGTGCAGATTAAAATTCAAACAAAATGTAAATGAGCCGCGATAGTGACCTCTGTTGTGTGCTTGTGCATCAAATCAAACTGAACAAAAAAGTCCTCTATCCTTTTACAAATAACTATGTAGATTTTTAGTTATTGATTAAAAAGGATTAGTGCATAATCATGCGCGACTATCATCAATCTTCTTGAAACTATAAATCCTCTTTAATTAATAACTTAAAATTTTTCGTGTTTGCGAAATGGTAGAAGAATTGTATGTTTAGTTTGATAAATTCTACATGCACAGTACGGGTATGTTATCAACTGTGTGACACCCTATGTAGGTGACAGTTATACGAGTTTAGTGTGTGAAATTAATATATATAGTTTAACAAATTGTTTTGTAGAATTATTGCAACCAAAGTTGTACGGTCACGAGAACTACACAATTACCACACTGTGAAAGAGAAAATATCTAAAAAATAAAATATATTTGTTCGATAGGTATTAATGATATATTTATCTAAATTTAAATTGTTTTATTTAAATAGAATTTAAGCCAATTCTTTGGAAAATATTTTATATTAATATAAATAAATATGTTTGTTATTAGAACCCACCAAAAATAAAGTTTTTGTTTCTCAGATATTTTTCCTCACACCTAGTGAGTGTGTGTACAGTGACTTTAGTTATTATACTTTATAGAATTGCCACCACCAAGTCTCTTTCTTTAAGTGCGGTATACTTTGAATATATTAAATTCTCATTTGCAAATAAGATGTAAAAAAATATTTAGTATTATATAAAAATTGACAAAATCACTAGTAATGTAAAAAAAGGTGAAAATGAAAACAGTCCGAAATGACGCACATCCTAACGACTAAGCTTTGCTTTTCAGAAACAGACGGAGAGAGGAAAAGAGAAAAGTAAAGGGGGGAAGAGTGTGCAGATAGAACCGATGAATTTTTACGATAGAAGACATGTCTTATTCGCACGATACGCGATCCGAAACGCGTCCTCCGAGCATGCAAAACTCCAAAGCGACGCGGTGTAAAATCCGCGGCGCGACTCGAGAGACGCAACACGTATTGAACATGAATCTCTGTCAAAATCGATGCGCAACTCGTGTGCAACATGCATTTGATGCATGTTGCGCTGTTTCGAATCGCGCGTTAGTCGTATTCGATACAAGCTGTCTTATGCATAGAGCTGGCTGTTGGCCGTGATAACGTTACATCGTAAAGGGTCGACGTGTAACAAATGTGAGGAAAGCTAGGGCCAACAGCTGCATCGCATAATGCACGGCGACGGGGAAAGTTACGCGGCATGGATTCATTAAACTATGACGGTTACGGAGCGTGCGGGCATCGACTCGCTCGAATTAATTATAAATTATTTTATATGTCATATTAATATATAGAAAATCTGCGAATATGTCCGCACGGAAACGCTTTTTACGTATTTCGAAATTTTGAGCGCACGCCGCGTATTTGCATCGACTTTGCGCAGTGTATCGCGTAATATCGTAAAATGACAAAGCTCGCACGATAACGATAACCGTGCATATACTCGAGCAGCTCGTTCGCCCGTCGTTCCCGTTCAAGCGCCGACGCTGAAAATATCGGCAGTCCGGCGGCGCGATTCCGGACGAGTTCACCACGAAAGCTATTTTTTTATTATTTTCCTCCCGCGTATATTCTCCGGCATCCAGCGGGGAATCCGTTCATCAAACGGAACCAACGAAGCGGCAAATATCCCGCGGAAAGGACGATGGTGCATATAGAGTATGATTTTTCAAAGGATGGCCGATGGAATTGATCGCGCGCTCCTCTCTCTCTCTCTCTCTCTCTCTCTCTCTCTCTCTCTCTCTCTCTCTCTCCCCTCTTTCTCGCTCCGGTTCTTTCTTTTTTTCTCTTTTTTAAATCTCACTCGCACCCTTTTCCTGTTCCCTTATTATATTTTGCACTGATTTTTCCCGACATCCTCCGACATTTATTAATATATTACTTTAAATAATATGAATACATATTTACATCAATACATTTTTAGACATGATTATTATTCCGTATAGAAATTTCCCAAAATTTTCCTAGAGATATAATATAGATTCTAATCAGAATACCCAAATTTGTCTCAAAATTGGTTGTTCCGCTACGATACTAATTAGGAATCTCATTAAAAGATATATATATATATATATACACACACACATATATAATGTTAATATTCTCCTCTCTCTCTCTCTCTCTTTCCCTGCAGAAAACTAACCAAAATGCTGTGTTCGTAAATTTTTACGGTAGAACGATATGTTTTAAATGGTAGGAAAGATTGCATTGAGATTTACGTAGAATCGCTCAGGAAGCAAAATCTTATCACCGTTTATGTTCCCGTGAATTACCTTTCCCCATCATACCGTTCATAGCTCAACAACCGTCCGTGACTCGACAAATGCGCTTAATTAACGAACACCCAGTATCCAGCAGTTTCTATAGACAAATGGGTACGAGACGATAGTTCGGGCTAGCGAGCGAAAGAGAGACGAAACTTTCGAACTTTATCGTCGCGATGAGATGGCTTGCTCGTTTATCCAGACTTTATTATGTCCCCGATGCTTGTCACGGTCCAGCGAACGCGTCTTGGCCCGATATTGAAAAGTCCGGATCGGCTTCTTTCCTCTTTCCATCTTTCCCCGCACCGTTTCTCCACGTCCCGACCCGGGAAGGGGACCGTCTCTCCCAAGGCGCTTCACCTTTTATACGACGTACATATCCGATTCCCAGACTGCGTTAGCGAGAGACGAGCGTGTTGCGTTTGCCGATCATGCGAGGAGAACGAAATTGATTATGCGAGCAAAGGGAGGCCTCGTTCGCGCATGGCGAAGACCTTCCTCCCTCTTCGCTTTCTCTCTCTCTCTCTTTTATGACGACAGGTTAAGCTTTCCAAAGAAGAAATTAGAGGCGCAGAATAGCGTGAGTAAACGCAATCTTCTCGCAATCTGCAAACTTGATTTTCAATCGACATTACCGTCATCCGTCTTTCCCAAATTGCCAAATCCGCGAGGTGTTTATTATTTTTCACATTTACGTTCACGCGCGTCTACGTTTACGCACGTGAGATACACACGACGATGTGACCTCTCGCAGCGTTCATATTTCCGAATGCCATTGTCCAAGCTGCGCTTTACGTATTTCGCGGAACGTATCCGACGAGACAGACAGACAGACAGACAGCCAGTAGTCAGCCAGTAGCCAGCTAGCCAGCCAGGCAGACAGACAGAAGATGGCGACGTCGCGTCACGTCGCGTTGCGCGCCGTCCCGAAAATTTCGTTCCGCGCGAAAAGCGGAACAGCCGCGTGCTCAACGAGCCGCCCGGTGCATTGCGGCGCGCGATCGAAACCGCGGGGTCTCGGATAATAATGTAATTGGATAATTCATAGCGAATAAGCGCTCGCGTACTTGCGCCTACGGAGTGCCCCATTATCGCGGACCACCGGCTTTGTAATGCAAAACCAATTTCCTCGTCTCACAGCCTCTCCCATCCTCTCACCGTCTCGCTCTCCTCATCGTTCTCGTCGCTCTTCTCCTCTCTCGCTCTCTCTCTCTCTCTCTCTCTCGTTGCCCCCCGCGGCCCCTATCCACCCCGTTATCCGGCACCACCCCTCTCCCCTGTGTCTCTCTGGCGCGTAATCGCTGCGGGAACTTTTCTTTTCCACGAGAGAGCGTAGTCGAGGAGAACAAAAGAAACGCTCCGTGGCGGAGGAGGACGAGGTAGTTCGGGCGGAACGATGGAGAGGACGCGTCGCAATCGCGGAATATTAATCGATCGCGACGGCCCGATAAGATTGCGCGCTAACTCTCCGGTTCCGCGCTGCCGACGATGAATTTCCAGGCAGTGCAGGCGCAAGCGGCGCCGCGCTTTTGGCTCTCGTCGGAACGGCAGGTTCGCCGGAAGTAGGTCGGATGTCTAAACTTGATTGAGTGTTGATTCTCAGCTGGCTCGAGATAGCGCGAGCGCGTTGCCGTCGTTTGATACTTTTTATTATTTCTCTCTTTGTCTCTCTCTCTCTCTCTCTGTCTCTGTCTCTCTCTTTCCCTCTCTCCCTCTCTCTCCCTCTCCCTCCCTCTCTCTCTTCTTTGAAATCTCCTTTCTTTCAAAGCATTACGCTATCCCCGGAATGTTCTTCCCTTTTGCGAACTTATTTCTTCCCACCACGGAGAAATGACGGAGCTGTCGGCGTTTTGTTTGAAAGGAACGTCACGTTACAGAAAGATGCATTAGCGAGTCAACCTCGATCCGAGACACCGGCCTGTCGCCTGGAAAAAGTAAGCAAAGTTTAAAAAATTCCAATCAACCACCCGGACATTCGTACTCGCGGTATGCCCCAACGTGGACGGTGTATCGATACCCGAGGGGAAAAATGTACACACCGACCGTTTTTTATCGAACTTCCGCGCTCGCGTGCAAGCATTCTCCGCGACCATGTACTATTTTTTATATAGGCGATCAGTGATTTTTTTTTTATTATCGCCCACTCGATGGAATCGAGAGGGGGACACCCAGTAACTGAGTGAGTAAGTGAGTGAGTGAGCAAGCGAGCAAAGGAAAGAGAGAGAAAGACAGAGGAGGGAGGGAGGAGAAAGGGAGATAAGTCGGCCGATAAACGGTTCCGATTTATTGCGTCATTAATTTTGTTTATCGACATGCGAATCGCGCGATTGCGTTCACAGCGACTACGTCGGCGAAATTCAGTCGCGGAATTAGGTCGCGCAAAAACGCGTCTCCCTCCCCCAGCCCCCGGTGTGTTTACTCGCGCGTAATTTCGCCGTTCGCTCCCTCGCACATTTCTTTCGCGTGTGTCGATGATATTCACATGCAACGAGCCGCCCGCGCCCAATATCTTAGCGCCGAATTGACATCGTTATCTCACGATTAGCGCGAGGGAGTAGCGCGATTGTCCCGCGGACGTCGCGCAACGAAGGAAGATAAATTACGTTCGGTGCGCAACACTCGGCGAACGAACTACATCGCCCGCCGTCTCTGCATTATCGTATCGCGCCCGGGAACGTCGGAGAAATTCGGGATTTACGTCGGCTCGACGATAAACCGTGGGCGCACGAGCACACACGAGAGCTCCCGCGGAGGCGCCGAGGGGGCAGTAGAAGAGGCGGCCGCATGGTCGGACACGTGAGATGAGTCCGGTAGAGGGATTTCGCACGTGATAAGGCTGCGCGAACGGCCGTTTCTCTCCTCGCCGTCGGGTCGTTTCTCCTATAACGCCGTTTCTCCCACGCGCGGAGAAGAAGCCGAGGGAATGAGAGAACGAGAGAATGAGGGAAAGAGAGAAACAGGAGGGAGAGAGAGAGAGAGAGAGAAAGGGAAACGGTCCCTGGCTCCGCTCTGGCTGCAGCTAGCATACTCGTCCTGTCGTAATACCGTCCGCCGTTATGTCCGGTACGTGGCGCCCGTCCCGGACGCCGTTCCCGACGCGATCGGGATATAAACTCGACACCAGCTCGCGATAAAGCGCCGTTCCGCCCACCGTTGTGACCGTCCCCATGTACGACGCTCGACAATGAGCGGCCGGACGCCGAAGGACAACGATCGCGGACGATACGATTCAAAGGTCGCTTCCGCGACAGATACGCCTCGGTCCCCGAGGTGTCGAGTCAACCCCTTGTGACCTCGTTTGTTGGAAGCCCGTAGTTACGCACGGCAGGAAGGGAGAGACAATTCGAATACGTATCGAGATGATCTCGTATGATGTAGACGATTCTATTTAAGACTTATTTAACCCTTCAGTAGGCGCGTGTATTTTTTATCTTCCTAATCTATCGCTGTGAATGTAAATTTTGCTAGGATGTATATTTTTTTTTGGAAATTATATACTGTATAAAAAATAGACTATATATATGTTACAAAAAACGATTAATACCGCCATTAATACTTTAAACCTGGTTTTTCATGCGACCAGCATTGCTTGCATTCAATAATTCCAAGGAAGAACTTCACAACTAAAACTATGAACAACCGCCATTGGTCACAAGGAAAATCAAACTTTTTTAGAGTGTCAAGGGCTAAGGGAAATAAAAAAGTTGAATGTTTTATCTTACATAGACTTTAACATCTGTAGACTACATGCATCTAATGTGAACCCAGACTTTCATGATTATCATAACACGAAGCAATCAATGATGTAAGTTCTGCAGTGTTTTAAATCAGATTTATCAATCAAATATATCGTATTAAGTTAATAATTAAATCACACAGTGTAAATGTAAATGTTGTGTTACATTGATGTAGCCACAAAGCTGAAAGTTACACTCAGGCTTTCATATCATATTCTACATAACATATTGTTCCGTATAAATTCAGAGCATCTTTCTCCCATTTCATTTGCAATTCTATTTCGTCATTCTATGCGATAAATACGAGCGCTACACGAACCACTTATAAGGGACGCGAGCTTTACGAATGGCCTGATGAAGTTATCACCAAATTTGCATTTATCTATCTGAGAAGGCTTGAAGATTTCCCAGGCATTTTCAGACGCCTCTTGATTCGGCCTCTCTTTTTAGTACATCAAAATTTGAATTATCATTTGTGATTTGCAATTGATCTTTTTAATTCGTCTCGTTTCGCAACGTGTATATCAAATGAATACACAAGTGAATGATTAGAAATATAAATATCGGTCAACTCTAAATTTGCGCGAATCTTTCTGCGCGATAACGACATGGTGGCCCGGCTAACTAACTGCAGCTGTGACGCAATCATCGGAGACCGCGGCGCGAATTACAGAACGCGTGTACGGGTAATTGCAACCGCTAAATGGCTGCAGTTTAAGTATAAAGACAGTGTCGTTTGTACAATTGTGTGTACGTACGTTACGCGCGTCGCCGTCGGCGAGGAAACACGAGCTGGACCGGCGAATTAACGGGCGTTTAGTCGCATCGTGGACGCGCGCAAGACGACGCCGAGGATGGTCTCCCCGGTGTTTACGAAGCGTAACAGCTTCGAGGGAGGATGGGAGACGCGAACCGGAATGACCGTCAACGTCGACGTTGCGTTACGACGTCGGGCCTGAGGCAGGATGGCGTCGCGACGGCATCCGTTGACGAAAGCGAACGGACTGACTCACACGGACGTTTTATGTCTCTCAATTCGAGCTTTTGTTTCGGGCAGAATTTTTATTCTGTTGAGATTGATTTGTCTCTTTAATTAATATCCGATATACTGCGTCAGTTCGGCTAAAGTCACGTCATTTCACGCGTTTAAATTATTACTTTCGCGTTTTAATTATTTACAATTTTCCGTGTATCCTCCTATCCCCTTCACAATTTTTGACAATCATTAGCGTTTTTTTGCAGCAACTAAGAAAATTAATAATTTGTTTCATTAACAGAACATTTGAAAACCATTATTTTCATCATGCATACACATGAACATGATAAACTTCAGAGCATAACCGATAGTCCAATGAGAGAACTTATGTTTTATGTTACCAGTTCGTTCTCTTGTTGGACTATTGGTTGCACTCTCTTTATTGGGTTATCTTTATCTCTGTTTATTGGGTCTAAGTCGTTTTGCGATCTACTGTATACGTGGAAATATTATATATATCTTGAACATTATAAAACATTTTCACGAGAAAAATTGACTTGTATTCCTGAGATACGTTGCAATTATTTGCCGCAAGAAATAAGTTGACTTATCTGAGAATTAATAAAAGTACCCAGTAAATGAATAACGCGGAGCTTCTCGACGAGAAAGGCTGACGTTACCCGTCGTTTAATTATGCATCTCGAGTGAAGCGTTTCATATTTCGCGTGCGGAGCTCGCTGGTATTGTCGAATTTACGAAGTCAACCCTCGGCAAAATTGGCCGGTCGCGTTTAGCGTCGGAAGCGCGACGAGAATACTCGCACAGGGAGAGAAAAGAACAAAAAAAAAAAGGGAAGATCCGCACAGCCATTCCCGGAGCGAAGAGGGTGGCTTCGAAGAGGCGGCGGGATCGGCGGCCGATGTTCGGGAGGGAATAGTCAAGTGGAGTAGGAAATACGTGATCCGGAATCTAGTACCGTGTATTGGAAAATCTAGCTATTACTCGACTGGCGTATTCTCACCGGTGGAGAACATCGTACAGTAGTGCCCCGCGTTCCTCCCTCGACACTTGCCGCCTGCCTACTCCTCCTCCCCCAGAGCGGAAGGGGGGAAGACTGACGCCAAGTTTTATTTTGCCTTCCCCGGGGGATCCCTCGGACCGGCCGAGACGGTATTTTTATTCAAATTTCGCTCGATCCGTCCTCCTCTCGAGGCTCCTCGCGAGACCCGCACTCGAGAGAAGAGAGACGGGCATCGCATTATGCGAGTCGAACTCGCTCGCTCGCGCCGATGTGCTCTAATGCCGTAGTTTCGTAAATTCTATCACAAAATAGTAAAAAAAGCCAAGTGTATGCGCGTTAGCATTACTCTATTGAAAAATACAAGACAGTTTTATATACTCTCTACAAAAGAAATGATATCAATTATTACATTCATCAAGTGCGAATGATTTTTTAATTTTATAAACATATATGGTTTTGATTATATAATATATTTATAAATTAAATATTATTAATATATTATTAATATAATATAATATAAATTAAATATTATTAATATATTATTAAATAAAAAATAAAATAATAAGAGAAATACAATAATATTAAAAAAAATTATAATAACTTATACAAAAAGCCCTTGGCGTGCCTTTTTTATAGACAAACAGTTCTCTTATTTTAATGATACCTATACAGCAGTTAATATCAATAAAAAAATCAACATACTTATATTATTGGTATATTTAATAATATATTATTAAATAAAAAATAAAATAATTAAAGAAATACAATAATGTTAAAAAAATTATAATAACTTACGCGAAAAGTGTCGCGAAAAGTGCCGGCAAAAGTGTCGGCAAAAGTATCGACAAAAGTGTCGGCAAAAGTGTCGCCAAAAGTGTCGCCAAAAGTGTCCCCAAAAGTGTCGCCAAAAGTGTCGCCAAAAGTATCCCCAAGAGTATCGCAAAGAGTATCATACTTCGCAACTTTTAAAACTATTATATACATTAAAAATATAACCTCGTTATAACCCCATTTTCGTACGCACGAACTGTCACTCGACTCTGCCGCGATGACAGTTACAAATCGGTAAATCGGTAATCGCACCACTCTCACTATCCCGCCATCTAACGGAGAAGATATGCGATGGAGAATTTCTGTGGTGAGGAGACGTTTCTCACGTGTAAATTCACAATTTCAGATTGAGCTAAGATAGCTCAGTTTCTGGAGCACGTAGAGCAAAAATAAAGGCAGTTTTATGATATAATGTAAACCCAAGGAATCGACTAAGTCCCTCCAGAACTTCGTCAATTCAACCGTTATAGCCGTTAAAATATTATAACGAAAATCTAGCCTACATTCAACTAAAGCCGTCGCGTAATTATACACGGTAGACCGCCAATGATTCGCCAATGCTTGCACTTGGCTTCGCGATACTATCGTGTCGCTTGATTTGCTCTCGTCCTTACCTTACGCGCACACTCGGTCGCTTGTAAATGCCCCGGCGCGGTCGATAATCGCCTAACTGCGACGAAATAATCGGATGCTTCCGGCGAGCGGAAACGACCCGCGACAGCTTGTGTGTCTTTATTGAGGACGATGCGGAGACGGCCGCCTCGTCGTCGTCGGGGAGTCGCGACGGGATCAGGTCTCTTGATGCGATCTGGAGCATTATCCCTCGGGAGACACAGTAGGCCTGATTCCCCGTAAGAGTGGAGGAATACAGAAGTTTCTTCGTTCTGGCGGATTAGATAAAATCGTAGGCGAAGTCAAAGATCTCCCGGCGCACCTCGCTCCTCGGTTAATTTTCCCGAGAGGAGGGGAAGCAGAGCGCGAGGCAATTTGTATATCGCTCGAATTTTGCTGGGAACGACGGCGAACGAGGGGCACGGGAGCGGAAGTGAATTCGTTGGAATATTTCATGCGAGCATCAACGTTTGAAATGGCGCTACTTACGGTGGCAGCGACGTATAAAGTTTTATTAGTAAGTTCCACCGGAGGATCTCTCCCTCTCTGTTCCTCTCTCCCTCCCCTTCTCTCCGCTCTTTCGCACGCGCATCTACTTCGTACCAAGTTCCGCAAACTAGCTCGCATCGGACGTGAGTTTCAACGAGACGAATCGCATGGGTAACGCCGCACGCGAAATAACCGCTGTCGTTCGAGAATCGCACGACGCGAATGAGGAAAGAAAGATATCCACCTACAACCGGAATTACTCACCGAATTTCCTCTCATGCGCGTGTTGGAAGAGTGACAAGCTGCGAGATTGCAAAAACGCGGAGATTCTCGAAAATGCAAATTTGCAAAATGTGGGAATTGCGAAAATGCAAATTTGCAAAAAGACACTCGGCATAATTATAGTAATTCGCGCGAGAGGAGTCGCGTCAGCCTCCGCCGTCGAGCCATGCGCGACGATTTCGCAGAAACGAGGAGAATCGGTCGTAGGACAGGACACCGTCCTGTCCGTCTGGAATTATCGCCTTACATCCCACCGCGCGGTGGTTTCTCGCCCGCTCGTTTCGAGAGTAAAAGCAGAGAGGGGTGAAGGAGGCTCCAGCGAAGCTGGAGGACGAGCAAAGCGGCCGAGTAATTCCCAGTCGTCGAAAGAGCGCGAGGAGGAGTTCGCCACAATGCGGCGGCGGCCGCTGATACTCGGGGAAACCTTTCGAAGCCTGAGAAGCGATCTAGCGCCGGCATTGTGGCGGTGTCCGACGCAGCTCTGGCTGGCTGATAAGACTTACCTACCTATCTACCTCCTACGCTAAGTTCTCGCCGGCAAAGAGATCCTGGAAAATACCCTTCGCGAGAGACATCGAGCGCTACTGCGGAGCAGAGGGTGCTGTCTGTACGACTGCCTCGTGCCAAATCTCCTCCCGCTCGCAACGGACGTCCGATAACGAGCGCGCAAATTCCCGAGATTGCGAGACGAAAGGAAACGTTTGTTCCGTGTACTCTCAAATTAAAGTGCAACTCGTGCGTGCGTGTGTGTCTTCCGCTTGGGTGCGTATAAGACGCGCAGCAGGCATGAGACTCGCGAGAAACACGACCTAAAGTCAGGATTGCCCCCGCGACGGTATTTCGTTCGAGCTTAACGCCCTGGAGCAATAAGCTATCGCAGACTGCTTTCGCGTGGAATTACACGAGGTCGGTGTGCATATCTTCTCGCCGTCGTCATGAGCGCGCCACCCAGCGGGTGGGTACCAAGAATGAGAGCGAGAGAGGAAGAGAGAGAGAGAGAGAGAGAGAGAGAGAGAGAGAGAATGTATGTGTATGTATGTGTGTATATATTGATGTGTGGAGTACTGTGGTGCAAGGAACGAAGAGAGATTCGCCTAGACCGTAATTAGGCGAGACCTCGCTTGAACCATATAGTGTTGCGAAGAGCTTGTTATCATCGAAAAAACCATTTTATGAAACGTAACTTATGAAACAATTTTAAAATTGAAATTTTTTCTTTGACTTTTTATCTAATACCGACAGTTGCAGAAATTGGAGCGAATCAAAAAACTGTCGTGTAAATAAAATCGTACCTATATTAAAGGCTTATATCCTTTACAGTAAATTAATATTATACAGTCGAATTTATAGTTTAAGAATATCTATATATTGATCTTAGATATCTTCTAGATATATTCTAGATACCTAGATATCTTCTAATAAGCTAGTATCGGTTCTCATTTTGATACTTTTCATATAATCCAAATTACTAATAAATTTCATAAACAGAACAGAAATGTTTAGTGGTGTCATATACAATTGCGATTTGGGACATAATCCTTCGAGAGACAGGCTGATTTCCCGGAAGAGTCGAAATTTTGATCCTACTTTAGACTTCAATATGCCATTTAACTCCTACTTTGATATTCTGAAGTCTACTACTTTTGATTAATCTGCTTAAGTTGTTAACTTTGCTAAGAGATTATCCTTAGAACCTACAAATAGCACTTTATGCGTTTTCTGTCATTTGAAAACGCTAATTAGGACTTCATTTTCAATGTGCACTAAACATATACTGATCTTTTGTAATATATAGATATTAGAAGGTTCAGGTCGAAAGTAGGGTTAACATTTCGATCCAGAGTGGAGAAATAGAAATTTCTTAGCTTTGATCGATTAAATAAAATCGTATAAGCGAAGTTAAAAGACTCGGTGTCGATCTCGTGAGCAACGGGAACTTGAACGGCTGCAGGAAGGGAACCGCGGCTGAAGAAAGCGGCAAAGTCCGTCGTGAGCAACGATGTAAGCGCCGCTAATGATTCTCTAACGAGGTGTGGGTCAGTCTTGTTCTATCGGAGAGAAAAACGGGCCATCTTGGCGGCGAAAAGAAAGCTCTCTCTTTTTCGCCGCTGGCTATCTCTGGTTTCGCCATCGACATGCCAATGACTCCTTTCTTCTTTCCCTTTGTCTTTTGTTAGCCTCTTTCCGTCGACCTAACCCCATCATCCCGTCTCTTCTCACTCTCGTTTCGGCTGCGAGAAATTTTGTGCCACTCGCACCCACGACTGCATCGTCTTAAATATTCCACTCTGTTTTCTCCGCAGTTTCCGCCCGCTCGCCGGAAGTTGCGCTGCAGTCTTGAATGCATCCCGAGGAAAGAGAAGAGAGATCGGCCCGGAATGGTATTACCAAGTAGAGAGAAAGAAAGAAGAGAGAGGAAGGGAACGGCGAAATATTCTCCCCGTTGTCCTGCCAGGCCTCCGAGCCTCTGCCGGTTTCGGATGAAAGCATAAGAATTATTAACACCGAAGGCACTCGCGAGACACAGTGATATTACGTCGGTTTTCCAAAGGCAGCTGCAGTCGTTGTTACCGCTGCTTACCTGACGAAAAACACTTTCACACACGATTAAGGTACAAGTACCAATTCCCGGGCACATCGGGAAAGAAATATATGGTACACCTAACCAGAACTATTTAGTTGCAAACAACATAGTTGCATCGCCATTGTTATGTTTGTTTAATGGTAACGTACATGGTTGAGATATGACTCAATTACTTTGGTACACCGATTACATCAGTGTAGTTGCGTGTGATTGTGTCAACCGAAAATCGGTTGGGATTGGCATTTACTATGGATACATTCTGATTGGAGTAACTAGATATCGTCATTGCTGCAATAACTCAGCAATTGCTCTATGATTGCAGCAATTATATAACTCATTGTTCCGCATTTTCCTGTTGAATCCAGTTGGCACGACTAGATTGATGTGTGATAATGTTTTCTCGTGCAACCAATCCAGGACATCTTTACTGTTTTGGTCTTTTTAAATATGAATATTTAAACAGTCAACATATAAAATATATACACGTAACATAAAACGTATGTACACATACATTGAATATATACATGTATTCTCTATGTTGAAAGTTTAAATGTTCCTAAGTATTTAAAGACCAAAACAATAGGAATGTCCGGGCTTGGGTGTCCGGGTATTGGTACTTTTACCTCATCTTCCCATTAGTTAAGACAACAACAAGCAGTAATAATGATTATTATTCTTTTTGTCATGACAACAATAATGATGAATACTTTGCCCACGTTTCGGGATCGAGAGCCTCTTCGGGAGGATGTTGAAACGCGAGCTATTACACGGCGATTCGCACTAACTCGCGGAAATTGGTGATGAATGCACGCGATGCGCGGTTTAATTGGATCGGCATTTCCGAGAGCTATCTATCCACCGGTCGCAACTGGTTCGGCCGAGCCGTTGCGCGTCGATTGCACTCGTGCGCCCTTATCATTATCACGGCCGAAACACCGGCCGATTCGGCTTTCGCGCTTTCATTATTAACCGAATCGATGTCGACGTCGAGCGTCGCCCGCACGATATTCCCAGATGTCCCTCCCGCCTACTTATCATTATACGCAGTAATAGGAGCACAATGGTGAATTCCCGCGGCAGCCGGATTTCGGACGTGCGTGGCGCACGGGGATGCCCGACATTCACGGCGTGATAGTACGGATCTCTCTCTGGACGAGATACACGAGTGAGTAAAACCGATGATTGGTACGGAGCACGTTGGTGCAAAAGGTGTCGCGCTCAAATAGAATGAAAAACGAAGTTATTCAATTCTGACAATTTTCACGAATAAAGTGATCGATTCGGTATTATTTTAAACACAAGGATTCCCCCTGTTTTCTTTCAAGGAAATGTCGCACTTGAACATTTTACTGATAGTACCGAAAGTACTGACTTTTTTCTGCAAATTTTACGTCGTCTTAATGAATTGGAGCACTGATAATACGTGACGAAAACGACAAAAAGTTTCAAAATTGATATCTCGAGTTGTAAATTTTAGCGTAAATATTTGCCTCACGCACGTGTGTTTGCTCTGCCCACAAAGATTTAAAAGGAATATCCTTCTATCTTTGTAGCTAAATTTAAAAGTTGAAAATTATACGAAAAGTTTGCAGAAAAATTTTTACATATGCATAATTAGGTTTTCTGTAAAATTTGGTAAAACAAAACAGGGCACACATTTATATAATGTTTATATGAACAATAAATTCGAAAAGAATAGTGTAATCGTGTACTTGGCGATCGCTTCTATGTTATTGTCATTTTTGAAATTCGTCATTCACTTTGGTATCTCCTTAAGGAGACTGGAAGGTTAGATTGCCTGAAAATCGTGCTTGTTTTTTCACGATTTTTTATGACAAACTGAATGAATATGCGAAAGTATTATTTTGACGTGTATTTATACAACATAAAGAGAAGAAAAATATAATTTTAATGATCAAATACTTAATATAAGTATATGGTACATGCAGTTAAAATATATCTCGTTTTTCTTTTCAAGGTCGTTATTTTGCGTAATATCTTGACTCTCAGTAGTTCAATTAAGCTGAATTTTAGGTAGAAAATTTCCGTAAGCTTGTCGTTATCGTTGTCGTTGTCATGAACTACTGACAAACTCGTGAAAATACTTAATTTTGAAATATTAATTTTTTTATCTAAAATTTAGCTTAATTGAATCACTGAGAGTAAAGATATTACTGCAAAATAACGACCTTGAAAAGAAAAACGAGATATATTTTAACTACATGTACCATACACTTATATTGAGTATTTGATCATTAAAATTATATTTTTCTTCTCTTTATATGTTGCATACATACACGTCAAAATAACACTTTCGCATATTCATTTAGTTTGTCATAAAAAATTGTGAAAAAACAAGCACGATTTTCAGGCAATCTGACTCTCCCCTTAATACCTAAAAACTTCCTATGAGCATCTAACAGAAGAAAATAACGATTCTTTTGCGTCCACCTAGTGTATAGGTAGCGTTGTCTCCTATACATATTTTCAAAGCGCGACGAATTTTTTTCGAGACACCCTCCGAGACACGAGACAACCGGTTCCTTTCTCGGTTACTTTCGCAGAAGAGCTGTCCAATTTACTCACACACTTGCTCGTAAAAACAGCGTGAGAACGAAAGGCAGAGAAAGAGAGGCAAAAACCTGCCGATCGGAAGAGGATTCGAATCCCCCGACAGGACTATCGTAACCTATCGATTCCCTGCGATACCGTATCGGAGTGCTCGCGATTGCAGCACGTATCGGGCTCACCGAATTGCGTCTCGATAAGCGCGGAAGTCGCGCCTTCTCGAAGCCCTCGTCGGCGATTTAGCCGACTCGGCTCGATCCTTCGTTTCGACGATCGACAGTCGACGATCGACGATCGCGACGGCACTTTCGCCTCTAGATTTCCCATCCGCCCGCTTGATCTCCCCTCAGTCTCGGCGTTTAGCGTCCTCAGACTTCGCTGATTTCAAAAGCTTCGCTCGCCTTGTGGAGAATTAAATGGTCGGAGACCTGGGTGGAAGCTGGAAGAATTAAATGACCGCGTTTAGCGCTAAATATGAGGTCAGATCTCGATACTCATTTTTAATCTTTAATATAGATGTGAGACGGTTCGGGTGTAAGCTCTTCAATTTTGTTAGCGCAACTGAAGGTCGAATGCACGTTGATACATTCCACGTCACATATTTGTCACGCAGTAACTTCTGTTGAGAGACCAGCGTCATGAAAAAAATTTGCAATAAAAATTAGTCTTGGGCCGTATAGAATTATGATCGAAATTACTATACATTTGTTTAAAAATTTTACGCATGTTTGAGTTTTTACTACCAAATTACTGTAACTTGAATGTTTTTTTTATATCATATAAATAGATATCGTTAAATTTGCTATTTCTATGGTAATTTATACTGCCATTTGTCATGAGTGAGATATAGTTTAGCTTTACAAAAAACCTTCTAAAAAGAAATATAATTTTAACGTAATTCTTACTACATTTTCTCCGTTTATACGTGTGACAGCAAACATATAATCAGCAAATCAATAGACAAAATTAATCAACAATCATATATAGAGTCGCAATTGATTTCATCGACAGACAAAATTAATAATTATTAATGAAACTTTGATGTGATTGATCATACACTGATTAATAATTAATTTTATAAATCGATTAAATTGTTCGCGATATATTGATTTGCCGATTATTTGAACCAAAGGGAATTTCAGTTGATTAATGACCAACACATTGATTAGGACTATGGGATAAAGGAGGAGGATCCCTAAGGCCGGTTTTTGGCACTCTCTGATATTAATCAAATTAAATCAAAAATATCAGAAACGTTATATTTTTGTAAGATCTATTGACATAAAATAATTTTAGTCTAAACGGACATATTTTGGTACCTGTTTATATTATAATTCTAATTAATCCCATTTACGCTCTTATGTCACCAACGCTCTTATGTCACCTACATATCATCTCCTTGCATTTGTGTGTGCGCACGTGCGCGCTTGAAATTACGAAAGCACTATTTATGTAGATTTTAGTAATATATGTTTCTTTAAAAATCATACTGCTCTCTACAAACTTCCTCAGCGTCTCCAGTACCAGTTCACATTCTCATTTGAAGGTAAACTTGCAGTAATTAGAATGTCTTTACCGGAACTAATATATAACATAATATAACATAGAGAGTAGTATGATTAAAAAAAAAACATATTGCCAAATATCTACACAAATAATGTTTTCGCAGTATCAAGCGCGCGCGCACACGCACACACACACACACACACAAATATAAGATGATATGTAGGTGACATAAGAGCGTTGGTGATAAAAATGGGATTAATTAGAATTATAATATAAGCACCAAAATATGTCCGAATAGAAATATGTTAGAATAAAATCATTTTATTTCAATAGTTCTTACAAAAATATAACGTTTCTGATATTTTTGGATCAATTTCAGAGGGTGCCAAAAACCGACCTTAGGGACCCTCTTCCTTTCTAGTCGGGATACCGCGATCGTGCACGCCGTCCCGTGCTTTCGTCCACGTGCCTTCCTCGGGCCGCGTTCCAGTATACGCTCGCAACGCCTAAATCGCCCTTCAAGCCGTTCCATTAGACGTTCACGACGTACTGTTGTAACTAGCTTTATAACTAGCTTCCTAACGCTCATACCGCTCGCGCTGAAGAGATGGGTCGGTGTGAACATCTGGTGAATTTTACCCAGAATTATATTATTTCGAAGAGTTTTATTCAACAGTGCGTTGGGACGATATTCCTCTCTGTAAAGTCTGGAGCAAAATATTGAAGAAGAAGAAGATATTGTATGAAATCTACGAAAATGAAATATTCACGACAAATATCGTTCCATTAGCTGTCACATCCAAACTACTGGAACGAGTGCTCGCGGCGTTGCGAGTGTGGGCGTTGTAAGCATATAACGGAACGCACCCTCGGTAGCATGCAATTCGCAGCGTAGGCGCCGCCAAAGACTCGTCGCGGCCATTAAAACGCTGGCGATCGAGAAAGTTTGCGAATTTATCGCCTTAATCTTGCTCGGGAATATTTATGACCGACCGGTTCCAGTGTCCGTCCGTGGCGCCGGCCGGCTGATCGCGAAAGTTCGCTTCGTTTCGTGCGAAACTCATGCGTTTACACCAAAGCCTCTCTCGTCCGGCTTTGTGACCATCGTCGCCGCCAGCCCTTGGTAAAATCAAGCCTAGAACCCGACGTCGGGAAGCCGACCGGTTGTTTTTAGCCGAGCGCTCGCGCGCGCACGGCGTAAATCCGTCCGAAGACTACCGACCGGCGCGAAACTTCGCGACCGGGATGATAGGGAATACCGGCGAAATCCGCTCTCGCGAGAACTTGCGACACACGACGCGTGAAAACTTTAACCGATCCGCCTCTTTTGCAATTCGGGCCGTAACGCTCTGAAGTTCGCCGGTGACTTTACAATTTCTCGATGCTGTGTATCTGGAAAATCTTCCGGGACACGCGAAATGCAAAGTCGCATTGGGGAATTACGGGAGGCTGTGCTTCTCTTTCCCTCATTGCGCGAATGTATTTCCCGAAGACAAATGTGGGTTAGGCTCGACGAGGGGAGGAAGCGGCGGGACACCCTATATATATGGGCTGTACTTTACATACAGCGAATTTCGCGAAACCTCCGTCTGTAACGGGGCCTAACTCGAGCCGGGGCGTTACGTTCGGTTGGCCGGAGGGCGAGTTTCATATTCAATGAAACTCGGAGCGCGGGGACGCGCGCGCTCCCATCTCGAGGCGCGAGAAAATTGTAATTCACCCCGACTACCCCTCCTCTCGTATTCACTTTCTCTCTCTCTCTCTCTCTCTCTCTCTCTCTCTCTCTCTCTCTCTCTCTCTTTCTCTCGCTCGGGTGGCGTCTAACTTTTCCACCCCCGCCGCCGGGCTGGGTGGACGGGCGTTGGCGCGGCCGGCCGAAATCCCGGCTCGAATCGATGTAAATCGTTTCGCGTGTGTACGCCTGATATAAACGGCGACGGGCTCGATCCGCTAACTTATTTCGCCGATATCGACCCACCACGTGCCGATATAAAGTATAAATCGCGGCGCCCGCGCGAGCGCCCGACGATTTGCCGAAATCGAATCGCCGTGCACGGGGTGTCGCGAAAGTAGTTCGAAGACGGACGACTTAAGAACCATTTGTAAGGCGGATTGATGTAATTTCGGGATATCTCGACATGCTACTACAAAAGTAATAATTCCACTCGAAACAGTTGGCACTTTGGCGTTTCATTAATTAAAATGAATATTCTGATTTTTCTTTTAAGCATGTAGAATGCAGTGAAGATCAAATATAAATACTCCAAAGTGAATTGAGTTCCTTTTCGATTCGTTTTCGAAGATTCAGGGACACTGCACTTGCGGAGACAAACATGATAATGACAAATTTTTGCATAATTACGGCCAATTAATTTTATATGTAGAATTTGTAATGCACATATATTTTGTTGCACGTGAAATCATTGAATTGATACGAAAATTTCATATTAAATTGATACAAGAATATTATCACACGAATGAATTATTCTATTCTATTCAGATACAAATGTCCGTATATAAGTCGAATTCTCGATCCTCTACATGTCCGAGATGTCCCAGAACTATTCAACACCAAATTAATTATTTCTTTTGCTTAATGAAAAGGACATCTTGACTAATTCAATTGATTGGACTTTCTGACAAGCGATATTTCACTTCAGCCCGCAGGCCGTCCGAGACGAGGCGGACGTATCTTAGTACGGATTAACGTCATCCTGTGACGGTTTTCAACCGCGTTACGTCGAGGAACGATCGGCGGGGATATTTATTGGAAGTGATTTCTATCTAGCGCCGCCGATCGATGCCTTTCATCTTTTATTCGCATTTGACTCGCATGAACGCGAGACGTCACGAGCGGCGATAGATGGCCATTAATAGTCTCGCTGGGTGACGTCCCGCGGATATCCGCGATCCGCGCTCATCCGTCACGCGAGGAGGTGAAAGAGATTCGTCGTCGATGACATATTTCAACCGCAACGCCTCTCACCTCTCTCTCTCTCTCTCTTGCTCTCTCTGCCTCTGTCTCTTTCTCTCTCACTCTCTCTCTCGTGATGCATTCTTTCATAATACTATAGTTCACGCGCTTGTGTGAACGAACGATAATTATAAAATTCATCACGTCCCTTCTATTAAAAACACGAAGCAGTGACGAGAACGCGTCGAGCCTTCAACTTGAATTCCCCGCGTGAAAAATTCTCCTGTTTCCGACATTATCGATGTATACGCCTTAACAACAGGGCCGATAAGTCGGCACTCGATGGGGGCAAATTTATCTTGGCAGTGCGATTCGTTTCGTAGCCAGCACAGCCGCGCGAATTGTGTACCGAGCGGATGACAAATCATGCGTCGAAACCGGAATGAATTATTCCGCGCTCGCATGCATCTGATATTCCAGTCCGAGAACACACACACATACACACACACACACACACCGCGCCCGGATGATCGAACTCTCGTTTTTCCGTCGGCGATGCGTCCGAAATGTCGATACGTCTTAACCTTCGAGCGGGTTCGCGGGATTAATGCCCGACTGCACGGAAAACAGATTCCTAATCGCAGCGCAACCTCGTCATCGCTCCAAGTGAAGCGACTAGAGATTATGATCGAGAGAAGCGATCAGAGATTGTATAGCGAGCGAGGGTACGATTTAAAAGGAAGAAAAATAACAATCAGCTAGAGGTAGGGTTGGGCGCTAGACGCGAGTTATGATACTCCACGTCTACGTGTAAACAACATAAACTATACATATTACGTATAGGTAGCCAATGTGTGATCTATGAATGTTGCTTAAAGAACGTATGGCTTGTTCGAAAATTAAGTAATTAAGAAAATAATTTTTTTAATTAATTAAAAAAAGTTTATATTTTTAATCTCCAGAATCCTGATGTGAAATTATGAACGTGGTTTTAATAAACAAGTTAGGCTGCAATATATAAAATAGAATTTGTGTCTATAGATTTTATATAAAATATAGAATTTGTGTCTACAGATTTTACAGCGAAATTTTGCCTCTACTAGTCAAAATGAATGAGACGCAACAGGAAGGAATGTCTCCACCGAAAATCAGTGCATATTCAATGATCGTCGATAAAATACGGCTTTTACTGATTCGCTTTGAGAGAATAGACGTAATTTTGAGATCTATCGCATAACTCTGACTAGACGTACCTGTTAACGTTGAAATCTCTTGTCAAAGTGGTATTTGCGAAACTAGGATGAGTGCGTATTCTCTGTCTCGACCGCATCACCACCCGATAGCTTCTACGAGCCCGCTGACATGAATTCCACGTTCGTATATTTGCCGGCTCGCGTTTGAATTATAGTCCTACCTATAACATAAAGAAAAAAATACTCAGCCGCGGTCAGCTGCGAGCCACCTGCGTCGCCTCATGGCGATCAACCATAAGTTCACCGAGACCTCACGGCCACCTGACCCTTTCGCCGATAAGTCGAACCGCGAGAGAGAAGCCTAAATGCCGACTGACTAATAGTCGCGGCTTGGCTTGACATACGAAGCAAGTACGAGGGGGTCGAACGGTCGCGGACGATACATCAATTACTCGCCACCTCGTCGCTTTATTAGCCACGTCGACTTCGGCAGCCCCCGCGAGCGGGTAGCGACGAGCGGGGGCGGGGAGAAAGAGAAGGTGGAATCGAGCGCGAGAGTTGGTAACAAAGTTTAAAAAAAACCGAGAGGAAAAAACGGCGAAGGGGGCGGAGATGGCAGCCACCCTCCGGGAAGCCGCCGTTTCCTGAAATATGGCGCAACTTTTAAGCCACCCGCCATCGCTTTCGTTCGTCATTCAACTGGCGAACAAAAACATCGACCGCTGGAGCTTAGGCATGCTCTCTTCCTCTTTCCCTTTCTGCCCCTTTCACTCTCGTCACGGAACTCGTTTCAGGTGCGTCGCCGGGATTATATTGTACTTTTGGGGGTTGGACGGGGGTGGACTCAAAAGTGCAAGCTTTTCGCACAAAGGGTCGTGGCCCGGGATTAGCCGAAAGTCTCGCCTCACACAGCACGTGGATAAATAATGCGCTACACTGAAAGCGAATCTCTACAGGAGAGAGGAAAAAAGTGTACTGAGAAAAAATATCTTAATAATAAAAAATATTTATTCGGTGGATGTGTACTAATATTTACTTAAATCTAAATTCTCTTATTTAAATGGATTAAACGATTACTTTCATAAAAAGCTAAGATTTCAAGAAAATGTATACTTTTTTATTATTTGAAAAATAATTTATGTTGGCTTATAAGCAAGTATATTATTATTTTAATTATATATATATATTAATTAAATATTTATTAAATAGCTACTAATTAAATTAAATTTTTTAATTCTTAAATATTTTTTCCCTCAGTATATTCGAGCGAGAATAGTGGCATTTGCTCGATACGCTGCGGGAATACCGCGGTATGACATTTTCATTAAAAATTTCATTTTTTCACGCATCAGAACGTAATCGCGTCGCAGAGCTTCTTCGTGACAGCGAGCAGTGTAAGTGCGGCGCGATTTAATCGGCCCGTCGGGGAACCCGCGTGGGCAGCGCGATGGAATTTTCGAAAATTCGAAAGCGGCCGTACACTCCCTGCTGGGAATTGCAAATTCCCCGACAACCACTTCGGTTCCGTTACGAGCGGTCGTTTCCGTTGTGTATGTATATGTGTACGCGCTTCTGTACGCGCACTCTCGCTTTGCTCGTGTGCACCGCGTGGTCAAGGGTGAGGGTGAGAAGAGACGGAATAAAGCCCGTGGCACGCGGAAAGCTACTACACTTTATTGCAAGTTATGTTCTAACAAGTCGTAGGGATACTTACGTGATTGTAAACGTCGCTTTGAACTTTAAGGATGACGTTCACTAAACTCTGATTAAACTCGTCGATCAAACTGGTCGTCAGTTGGTAGAATCGCCAATATGAAAGATAAAAGACAGTTTGTTGTTAAAACGAGCAAAAAATTTTCTCCCGCCTTTTTACGATCTATACCTAAAATTGCTTTTAGCCGCAAGTATTACCGCTCTATTTTATTCTTTTATGCACGGGGAAAAAAGTTTGGTTGAATGAACCAATTTTCAAAATATGAAGAATTAAAAAATAAAGTTATCAAAATTCAATCTAAATTATCAAGATTTCTAGTTAACTCAAACAGAATTCTGCTAATATTAATAATAATTTTTGAATCGTTTATATTTCATCAGAGATTGATTTATTTAATCAAATCTTTTTTCATATAACATACACATAATTATTAATTTTTTCATCATTATTGGACAACAAATTGTTTAGTTAGAAATTGCTGTTTATAATTCTGTCCCGGTTCATCGTTGATTAATTTCAGGACTTAATGAAAATTGTCCTCCTAAGCTTGAAAATTAAAATCATCCCCCTAAGCTTAAAAATTAACAATGTGCTTTTTCGACCAAAAACTTTTCTTATACACGGAGAAAACATTGTAAAAAAATTACAACAAAATTTGTATAATCTTGTATTGTGCAGAGTTGTTTAGCACGTTTAATTTTACCACGAAATTATTGTAATTGAATGCTTTTTATGTCGTTTAGGTGGATCGTTAAGTTTATTACTTCCACAGTAATTTATATCACAATTTCAGTATATCCCAGCTTTACAGAAAACATTGTGAAAAGAAATATGATTTTAATGTAATTTTTAATACAATATTTTCTCGTGGATATCACGATTCTTGAAACCGCGACGTCGCGGAAATTCGCTAGGGTTTTTCGTAATAACGCGGTTTATCTACGGGACACCTGAATTTGCGAGATGCACGACTAGTGTCAATAGGAAAATACGCAGACCTTCGTCCACGGTGCCGTGCGCCGCGGGCATAAGGGTGAACGGCAGCGCGCTTATAGAGGAAGGGGTCGAACCGCGCGGTGGTTCTCCATAGTGGCTACTCTATGAAATATTCAACGCGCCCGCGGGCCACGTCGTCATTGCTTTTGTAGGAACGTAACCGCCACCACCCCGTCGCGTCGCGACGCGTCGCGCTGCGCCTCGCCTCGCCACGCCGGTCTGGTTGTTCGTACGTCCGTTCGTCCATCCATCAGTTCGTCCGTTCGTTCGTCTCGACCGGATGCATTATTTTTCTTCATTTCCCTGGCAACACCGCGTCCTTGCGCGCGCCTACAATGCTGCAACCGATAGCTACAACCGAATGCATAAGCGACGCCTGCGGTATTCAATTCCGCGCGATATTCTTATACGAATTCGCATGCGAATTCGGCCAGGCGGAATTGCAACTCGAAAGGTGGCCGGGAGCTTCGTTTCGATATTAAATGATTCTCAAATAAAGCGCGCGAACTCTCGTGACAGTGAATTACGCGTGTTCCAACGATTGTTAACGAGAGTAAGAAGGGTACACAGCATCCCCGGAAATCCGCTTACGCGAACGCAAACGAATGGTAATGATTGTAATTGAATTTCCAACTGGTGGACGAGACCGACTTTGCGCAGCTCACGCATACCTATTCTTTGCACAAGACGTCTGTTCTTCAAACAGCGGTGCCGGAGGGTCCGCGTGTCGCGAATTAATTCGCCAAATCGGAGAAAATGCACATTTCCCAACGAGGAGGAGATTTCGGACGAGAAGAGGAAGAGAAGGAGGAGGAGGAGTAAACCCGCCTGTGAGGCACGAAGTAATTTTTCTGCTCTTAAAATCGGCGGAAGCTGTATGCACTCCAGACGTCTGAGCACTTGAACGATCTGACATCGTTTTAATGAGACCGCGACAAGGAGAAGGAGAAAAGAATGAGAATAAGACGGAGAGGAAAAACAGAGAGACCGGAAGAAAGGAAGGCAAGAACGGAGAAAAAGGGACGGCAATAAGGAGGCATTACGGCAGCGCGTCGAGTTCGGCCGAATTAGCGGCAGGCTAATAACAAAAAGTCGAATTAAAATAACAATTGCGTCGGGACGCGAGCGAGGACGACGCGAGGGAATTTAAATCCCACTCCGCCTCCTTCCAACTCGTCGCCTCCGCCCCCGCGTATCTCCTCACCCCCGCACCCTTTTTCGCTCATAGACTCGCCGGGATATTTTGAAATTGCAAATTTGCGCCGCGTCCTGTCTCTCTTCCTCCGCCCTCCCGCTCCTACCACCCCTTTATTTTATCTTCCCCCTCTCTCTCACCGTCGCACGAATTTAAATAAAATACGCACCCCATCGATTTGCAGTTTCCCCAGCGGCAGAAGGCGGGGGAGAAGCAGGGGGGAGGGCGGGTATGCCGCGGGCAGGGGCGCCTCTTTATCGTTTTCCGATGGAATCGTATTTGGCGGAACGACAACGCGCATCGATGTGTTCCTCCCTCTCCCCGATCCCTATTCGCCGCGTGCAAACGTCGCGTTCCGTCATATTCGCGGACGAGTGGGCGCTCCGCGTGTGTCGTAACGGCGAGTCGAATCGTCGAGCGATACACTCGAACAATTCGCAAGAGGAGAGCAGTTAACTTGGCGGAGAAGAGCGCTTGGGATTCCGTCGCGACGCTCGTCGACATCCGACGCGTGTCTCGGCACGTGGGCGCCGTGTCATATCGCGAATATAGAATATTATTCACAAAAATGCACTCGTCTCTCCCTCTTTCCTCGTTCTTCCCCTATTCCTCTCACTTTCCATGTCTCTGTCTTTATAATTTATGGAGCAAGCTTTTAGAGCGTTCATTGATTTGATTCAAGGTGGATCGTATGGTGGAATGCATATCGTGAGATTCACTCAGTGTAATTTTCATACACATGCTATAAAAATTAACATACTTATTATGTATACTTATCACTATTGCATTCCATAAATTGGTGTGTATTTGCTGTTGTACTCAATGCAATTGTCACAGAGATTTTTATATAAACATATATTTTTTCTCTTACCATTGCTGTATTAGATTAATCTATATATATGTTTTTCATCAAATTTGTATTGCACTTTTCTTGGCGCTTGACGTCCCAGACGTCGCATAACGAATGAAGAATCTATCTATCTTAAACCTGCACTTTTCTCATCGCACTACACAGCCGCCATAATAGCGGGGACAACTATTTTTCAGAAGTCCTGCCGAAACACTACCGTTTCGTCGGCTGTATTTTGCAATACCATTGATCTCACATGTACAAACGAAACAATCACAACCTGAAGCAATTGGAGGAGCATTAGCAATCTATTTCGTGATACATATTTATTCGTGTCTGAACTGACTATTCTAAACTATTCATACTAATAAATCTTAAGTGAACAATTAAAAAATACGTGATATTTCACATTCTACTGGAATATGTTTAGAGGGATATATCCTAAGGCGATAACAAACGCAATGGTCTGTGTCTTTCTATCTGTCCATCTATCTCCCTCGCTCTCCCTCTGTCGAAACGACTGTGAGATAGTGGAATAGCAGGTCGAATGGCAGCCGGCAGTTCGCGCCGGCGGAAAAAGGGCTCGACACGGCGTGCCCGGCACGTTCTTTCCATCCGAGAAAAGAGAACTCGCGGCACGCTGCTACAGACGATTCGTCCGGAACGCGAGTACACACAGTGCCGCGTTATCGAGCTCCCGCCGTTTCCTCGCCAATTTTCCTCTGGCTGCGCGTCTAGTACGTATACAAAGCATACAGCACTCTGTAGACTACTCGCGGCCCCGTGTAGTCACTCTGCAAGTCGCGTTTCGCAAGCAGCGTTTCTCGGCTGCGTAAACCAGTAGTGACGCGTGCTCTTGCGAGCATCGTCGGATCGTACGCGATCGGATGATCAGTCGCACAATCGATCGACTCGATTGATCCGAACGGTGGCGAAATGTATCCGTATCGGCGATAAATCAATACCACGTCGGGTGATTATCGTCGGGGGCTTGTGTACACTCACGAGTCCCTCTTCCTCTCGCGTTATCGGACTTATTGGATTCCGGGCTTCCTTTGTAAGCTCGTCTCCCGGACGAGCTAGATGGGATAAATGCGGTGGTGGCTGTCAGAAAAGTAGGAAATCCCTCGGGGATGCCGCCGCTTGCGGATGAGAAGAAGCGAGCGAGAGGGCCGGGTAGGAGATGAAGAAGAAGCCGTGGAGAAGTGGAGTGACGAGGGGATGGAGAAGTAGTAAGAGAGCCAGGAGGAGCGAGTAAAAGAAACGAGAGACAAGGGTACAAGGGAGAGAGCAGGACGGCGACGGGGAGGGGGAGGGGGAGCAGTGAATCTTGCGGTAAGAACGGACGGGCCAGTTGGAGGGATGAGAGGGCGAGCGAAGAGGGCAGCATAGAAGGGAGGATAGATTGCCGGTGCCAGGCTTAGGAGCGCTTCCATAGATCATAGAGGGTGCGTTTTGAATAATTTACCGAGGCTATCTGTTTCGCGGGAGCGCGCCTGCGGGACGGGGACCGAAGGACCGACGAGAGAAGAGAGGGTGTCAAGGTTGCGCGGGATCGAGTTTACTCCCAATCACGGGAGAATTCCGATCGGGCAGCGCGCGAACGCCGCCGTCTTTTCGCACGGCGGCGTTCGAACGATGAGAGGGGTGGCGAGATTGGGAAGAAATTATCCGCAGCTTCTTTCGCGATTGAGGGAGCGGCCGGGATTCGATACGAATTCATGAGATGATACGTAATCTCGCCCGAAGCTGGAGAAGTCAATTTACCATGAATTACTGTAGCGTTCATCGAGACATCCGCGGAAAATATAAATTTTGCTAAACACAAAAATTGCCAATTTTATATAAAATCTGTATAAAAATTCTATATAAATTTTTTATATAAAAATTCTAATTTTACTTCTCTCATTTCTTTTTATTATAAATTTATACTGCTGAGTTCATATTTTTATCATCATCAATGTTATCACTAATTTTGCATGTAATAACTTTTTCCTTTTTTTATTATTTATGTTTGTTTTATGTTTGTATTAGTGTTTATTTCCATGAGTTTATATGTGGCACATGTATTATTATCTAACTTGTTCTTTAAAACTTCATACTGCATATACTGCTGTATCCAATCACTTGTTACTATACTGTTACTATACTACTATTCTGTTCTTAGAGAGCTTCTAGAATATAAATAAACATTTTTTTCATTCATTCTCTCTCTTTCTCTCTATTTTTCTATTTCTCTCTCTATTCTCTGCGTCTTTTCCTTTTTATTGTTGATTGTTGTCGCCAAATTCGCGTTGCACACGCCCGTTACACTATTAGCACTGAACCGCGACGTAAACACAAGCAAACGAAACTTCTGGAAGCCCAGCACGAGGCAGATAAGGCACGATCGAACAGCGTCAGGACGCCGGCAACGAGCAAGTGCTCGCCCGGGACGGTTCGCGATTCACCGTCCGCAATAACGTCGCGCACCTTTTGTCCTCTCTTATTACCGCTTCACCTGCGTTTTCGTCGAGAAAGAGATACAAGTGGAGCGCTTCGCCTGTGGAGCGCAATACCGCGCAAAGCTTTCACCGTTCCTTATCTTAATTCGAAAACTTTCGAGTCTCGCGAACGGGACGACATTCGTGCCGACCCGCTTAACGACCCCGTCCTTAGTATACTCCTTGTACGCTCTGCCACAAGAAAATCCCCTGTCTTTATTATTTTTCATTGTTCTCTCATTCGTTATTTAGTCTTCTGGGAAATTCAGTTCACTGAAAGCTGGCGCGGCGTTTCTCGGGGCCTTTGACTGCCTTGATCCACTACTGCATGGTCGACGACGAAGAAGGGAAAGAGAAGGAGAAGGAAGGGAAACCGAATCGCCAACGTACTACGTAGGCCTGTTACGCCCAATGAATGACGCATCAGGCGTGTTACGTGCAGTGCGTTCCGTACCGCGCGAGTGTGCACACGTGTTACCTGCGGTCTCGACGCTGCAGAAGCAACAAGAAGAGGGAAAGAGAGAGCAAGACGCGGATCCTCCTCGGAAACTATGACGTCCAACAACGTCGTGGTATTGTGCGCGTTGCTGTTGTGCGGCGCAATAGGTAAGATTTTTCGGAGCAGGTGAACGCCAGACAAAAGATGGCATGCACCTTACAGGTAGCGTGTTCGCCATCTTGAAAACAAACCTTACAATTGCCCACAGGCAAGTGTAAAAGTTATCTTTAAAGTCAACAGACAATCGTTCGGTCGCTTTTGTGCTCTTTGATGCAATTTGCTCGACGATACGCGGACTTGAATGCCAAAGCGTCGCTGGTCTTGGTGGCATATAAAATGTCGCGAAGAAGAGCACGGAGGAATACAAGTGTGTGCAAAGCCGTAGCAAGCTCGACCGGCACCCTCGACCTAAATCTATTTTTCTGGTTTGTAACGTTACTGAAATTGAAATTCTCTTCAATTGCTCCGATCGCCCTAATTGGACGCTCCGATGTCGTAAGACGACCGGGAAAGACGTGCAAGGAGTTTTCTAGAAATTAATGACTTTTAAAGTAGCATCAGAATTATCTCGCCCGTTCACTCTACTAATTGCTTAATTAAATGTCTGTGACGTCGTTGGGCGACGTTTAACTCAAAGACTGCGATTAACATCATTGTTCTTTTGATTGGAAATACACAGGTACCGAAGCGATACGCTGTTATCAATGCAGCACCGACACCGACCCTAAAGGTGAGGACATTTGCGGTGCTTACACGAAATTCGACAAGGAGAGGAACGTGCCGATCGAGTGTAACAGCGAGGAGTCGAGTATGCCGGGTACCTTCTGCGTGAAGTTGACCGAGCAGAGCCCGCGTGGTTTCATCTGTGAGTATATTCGCTCCGGAGAGTGACATTGTTCAAATTTCTGACACGATTACTCTTCGTTGTCACCAACAGGAGAAAAAAGGATGACATTAAAAACAGGCTGTTTTTGGCCCACTGACGGAACCTCAACTTATAATAGAAAACTATTTCTGGAATCTTTTAAGAATAGAAAATTATTTGTTCACCGGCTTCGGGAAAAGTTATGACAATCGGATCTTATTATTGATTGTTAAAATATCGTTAAAATATTGTTAAATAATCGTTTTTTTAGACGTTTTTTGTATCCTTGATAAGTCTTTAAGATAAAATCAGTTGCACATTTGTGTCTTGAGTGGACAAATAATTGTTATTTCCCAGAAGATCCCAAGAACAATTTCCAATGATTAGTTAAGGTCCGTGTCAGTGGGCCAAACATGGCCTATTTTTAACATCCTCCTTTGTTTAGATCTTATTGCATCCTTCTGTTCTTTATTGTCTTCGATGCATTCGAAATAGTTCAATGTGCAGAAGCCGATCGCGTAGAGCCACAAAGAAAGCGATTAATTTGGCGCGTCCGCGAGACTCGGGACTCGCAAGCTAACGATTAATTCCGCCGATCGATTAATTAATTAAACCGCAATTGTTTAGGGGACGGTAGATGGCGGCAAGTGGTCCGGCGATGCGCCTCTGTCGCCAGCACTGGAGTGACAGGAGTCTGTAACTGGGGCGTCCGTGAGAATGGCGTTTTCTGGCAAGAGTGCTATTGCTCCGAGGACGCATGTAACGCAGCATCCAGCTTGTCGCTCGCCACACTGCTCGTCACGACGTGCGCCGTCGCCACTCGCGCTATTTTACTTTAAGTGAGGGAGATTTGTCAAGTTTACAAGACCACAGACTCTCTTGGCAAGAGCAAGAAGAGGATGAGAGAGAAACGTCGGACGCGATCGCTGGGAATCGTTTATGAAATTCTTCTTAGAGGAAATAGGAGCCGAGTAAGAAAGAGCGAGAGAGCGCGCGCGAAAGAGAGAAAGAAAGAAAGAGCGATTAAGCTTGCGCCTAATTCTGAGAAGGATAGTAGAGATGTATTCTGGGAGGATTTTGGAGTTGGCTTTGCTTTAACGAAATTTTAATTAGAGGGGCCATTACCTCGCGCAGACACTCTCGAATTCCCTTTGCTCGTTAATTTAATTTCCGTTCGGTACACTTTTAAATACACCGGTGCATGAAATTTTATTCCATCTATTATTCAGAAGCGATATCGCATTGCACGCGTAATTGACGCGCCTTCGTTAAGCAGGAATCGACTCCAAAGTTGCCAAAGAATACGCTCTTGTTCACCGAACCCGCCTGTAGATACGCGAAATAATATATCCGTCCATAGAACACACGTTAATTCGTTAATGCGTAGTGTTATATAAGAGCGAGAGTGTGAATCTCAAGCAATATTTCCGTCTGTAATATTAATTCCGTCCGTTTTGCGTCGTTAAAGAGGACCATTATCGCGTTGCGAGAGAGAGCACTGCCGTAATAGATTTGTTAATTGTTACACTCAAAGGAAAGGAGTGGCAAAACGAGTATAAAATAATTTTAATCAGAATATAAAATAATTTTAATCAGGACATAAATAAAATCGACGTTATTACGTTATCATGTTTTTCGATTACCGGCGTTCGTCGTAAATTTCCGAATTTTTGCGTAATTTTATATTTTTCTACATATCAGTGTATAAATTTTAATGCTTGCGTATATTACGCAATTAAAAAAACAAGTTTGTCGCTTAATTAATTTTTACACATTATTTGTATAAAGCGTAAAATGTTATATTATATGAAACATTTTAAATTTAATTTTGTACTTTATTATGTATAAATAAAAAAGAAGTACATTCCTAAGCGTAAATGACGTGCCATGGAAATATTCCACCGACTAGTCCCAAGTAAAAACTGAAATCGACGAGGAGAGCCGTCCGAAAGTATTCAATCGATACGAAATGATACGATCCCGAGTTTTTCGAGCATCGAACGTTTCGCAAATGAGCTCTCGCCCTCTCTCTCACTCTCCTCGAGAGTTCAGTTTGATTCTCTCTTCTTGCATGTCTCGCTTTCCCTCGCGTGAAAATTTCTTTCGTCGTACGGCTTTTTTAGCCGTTCGTTCGTGAATCTTTGAGAAACCATTAGACGCGCTCGCACGTTCTGCGGCGGCATTAACGAGCCGGAAAAAGGCGACGAAAATGAAACCTACTTTTGTCTCTCGACTTGACTAACTTTTTGCGGCACAGGAAGAAAACACGGCCCGTCGGGAGATTAATGTTTTCCGCGGCGCTGATCGCGTCCGTGCGAAATTCTCATTTGAGACTGTTTACGCCTGCTTAAGTGCGGCTTATACGCTATTTCAGTCGCATTTAACGCCACTAGATTACACCCGGCCCGGTCTGGATTTACGGTGCCTGATGTCGCGCTCCTTGTTTTTACGCGCGGTTAAAATTAATGACTGCCCCCGAAGCTTTATTTAGATCTGTCCTAATTTCGATTAACCCGATTATATTTTTCCGCGCGAATAATGAAACGACGTTGGCCTTAATTAGGTAACCTCGCGGCTCTTTTCCCCATTAAAGTGCACCGCCGGAAAAACATATGCCGAAACAAAAATCTGGCCGGCATATTATCATTCAAGCTACCGCTCGCGATTCATCAATCCTGAACGTCGACTGATCCTGATTCTTGCGTTCACAACTTCGATACAAATTTAAAAAATACCAAGTAAAAGAGGACACTCGACCTCAAGCATAAGGTAAGGTTAAAATGCCCGGACACATACATAATCCTGAACATTCTTATTGTTTTGGTCTTTAAATACGAATATTTAAATTTTCAACGTAAAAAATACATATATTGAATATATACTCTCTATATAGTTGAGGATTTAAATATTAGTATTGAAAGACCAAGCTATAATAAAAAAGTCCAGGTTTAAGTATATGTCTGGAAATTGATACTTTTACCTTATGCCTCCGGAAGAACAGAAATCCGTAGAAGAGAAATAAGAAGAAGGGAAGACTGAATACTGAAGAGGAAGAGAACACCGTCGAAGACATATCACGTACCTTAATCCATCATGTCACACGCACGCGTCGCACGCAAATCGAGCGAGATCCTCGAGTCGCGCGCGGATCCTCTCGCAGGAACTTTCGCAGCAACGAGCCGCGTCCTCGACGCTATTATACCCGCAACAGCCGGGGGCTGACGCTGCCGCGGGCACACTTCCGGTATCAAGCGAGGAGGAGCCGCCATCCCTGCCGGCACACCGACGCGCGTCACCGTAAATGCCGGAAATTCGGCGGCCGCGAGTTAATTACGTCACGCCTGTGAGACTATTAATGCCTCAACAGATCCGACGCGCCGTTGTACATGCACAATGGGCTCGGCTATTTAGGCCCTTCTCGTATATACATACATTACGCGTCACCGTCCCGTGCCAACCCTCGTTATACGGCCCGTCGTGATAATTAAGATGGTCGCGTTGAACGTCGTTGGCGACGCTGGTAATACTTCGAGCGAGGTCTTATCGCACGTCCTGATCCCTCCCGAAGCCGCGTAAGACCGCCATTCTGGGAGACGTTTCCTCGGGTACACTATCCGACATAATAGTCTTAACATTTACCTAGTTAGAAAATCGAGAAAGAATTTCTCGATCAGATATAATACATGCTTACATATCTTGACCGTTAAGTATTCTAATATTGTTGCTCTCTCAAAATATTCAATAGTCATGATGCACAAACAGAAATATTACGCGTGATCGAGAAATTCTTGTATAACTAAGAGATATATTCTATAACTTTAAAAACGACATCGTTATGTATCATTGCGTAGATTTTTTGTACTATGAAATAACTGCGCAGCGATACATAACGATATCATTAAACGTTATAGAATAGGCCCCTAAGACTAATAAAGGCTATTATGCCAGGTAGTGCATATCGTGCCGGAAGGACCAATGTAAATTGGGGACGAAACGGATTCAAATTAGCCACCGGGTGAACTGCGATTGATATATGCGAAGAGGAGAGAGAAGAGAGAGAGTGAACTCGGAAATTCGCGTCAAAAGACACGAGCCATGCAATTTAGCGCGATCGTGAGATCAGCGGTTCTTAGCTTCTTTCAATACGACCTAGTAAAAGATATCTTAGATCCGTATTAATAGTCCTTTTTGAGATTTATTTCATTTGAGATGCTCAAATCTGACTTTCAAATTATACCAGAGTTTTTCATTTGATTCATACGATGTTCGTGAAATTATATCGTGTACGAACGTAATACGGACTTTACAGATGTCCTATTTCTTTTAGGTGGCTTTGAATCCTGTATTTTATATATATATATATATATATATATATATATATATATATATATATATATACATATAATACTATAGTTGTTATTTCAAATTTGTCTCGTGTGAGATATTCAGATTTTTACTCAGAATTATATCCAACTTTTCAGTTGAATTATATACATAACATTATATTTGTAATCGTGATTCAACTGAAAGACTCTTATCTAATTCTAAACTCAAATGAGTACCTCATTTGATAGAAATTTCAAGTAATGACTATCAATATTGGATTAAGAGACAATTTTTAGCAATTTGTGCTGTCTGAGATTTTACAAGTGTGAGTTGTTAATAATACAACATAAAAAGTAATGGAGAAAGCTGGATTAGTTCTACGACGAAAATCGTCGTTCTACGCGAGAAATAGCGCGTTTAAAGAAATCATGCGTTACCTCATTCATCGTCCTCGTTAGAAATGCAAAAGGAATCACTCTTAAGATTTCAGCCGAGGGTGATATATTAGCGATTTTCCCGGCTTCATTTTCTACGGCGGACTGGCTCCAAGGCTGCATTCTGGTTGTTATTGCATCACGGCTTGCTTAATTAGCCGTCGCGAGGGCGGAAAGTGCGCAACCTTGGCGCCCCCAACGGCACTTCCTATTTTCATAACGCGTTCCGCTATGCTATAAGAAGGCACGAGAGGATAAGCGAGTTTCGAGAATCTCGGGAGCTTAACTCGTTATATCACCGCGTACAATTTATTTTACGCCTCGGGCTTTTAACTCGAAATAATATTATTGCACGCGTATTTTACCGTGTGATCCTTCGCTCAGCAGTCCCTAAAAGCTTCACGTGCAGCAGTTGGGATGACTTTCGCTAAATTCCGAGATTAAACTAAACTAATCGACGATTAATTCGGCCGGCAGGGTCGCCAACATGTGGAAATAAAACGCAACTTGTTGAAACGAATAAGGAAATTCTCTCATTTTCAACTTTTTTAGAACTTTCTAATATCTAAAATTGTAATTAGTCACTTTGGTTAACATAGACAGAATTATTAATTCTCTGGTTATTAATTGTAATAATTGATAATAATACTGCCAGTTATTAATTGATTAGTTTAATGGAAACTTGGCGGAAGTTACCTTTAGAATGGAAATTTAGATCTTTCAATTTGATATTCTTCAAATTCAATCTTGAGTTCTTTTGAAAGTATTAAATTTTTGCAGTGAATACTTAAAATATACGAAACATTTGAATTAAAAGTTGTGACGTTTAAATACAATTTATCGAGAAGCATAGCCTAGACTAGAGGGCACTGCATCCTTTTTCACTTAGACCCTTTATTGAGTTCCTATAGATGCGCAAATGCGGGGAACTAGACCCGATATATAGTAACACTGCGCCTGGAGATGCGTCGGGATTACAAACAAGTACTTAGGTTAGGTTACGTTTAGTTAGGTTACGGTTAGAGATAGGTTAAGTTAGCAATAGCGGTTGCTGAACGATTCGACGTATCAGGTTGCAGGTTAGCAAGTTCATGTTAGTGATATTTGTTTTTCGCAGTTAAGATTAACTGCTTCGTGATCACCGTGTTGTTTTCTGCTAAACGTTTTCCAGCGCCTTATTGATTCATAACTCATTCAATACGCGGCTGTCGAGCTTTGTAATATGTACCAGAAGTAACTTCAAAGTAAGCGCATGTTACAACGTATAACCTAATTTAATGAAAGAAAAGAAAAGAGAACGTTTGGCGGAAGAGAACGAAGGATGTCTGACCGTAATGTACACCGTGGCGAATTTTCTAGAAGGATATCGCAAATCATGAACATGGTTGCGGATAGCGGACTGACGCGTTTCGAAATGTTGATGCTTGTGGCGAGATTGACCTGTGTCACAGCGATCGGATTTTTCAGCATGAAGTGGATCATGAGTCAGTTGGATCCGACCAACAGCAGTAAAAAGCGAGCTAAGAAAAAGGTTCTTAATCGTTTTGTACAGTCTCCCTGAATCACGTATTATTTTCTATTTGCATGCAAAGTTCTGCTCCATAAGGTGCAATGCACGTGGCCTCGAAGTTGTAGGTAATATTTTCACTCATTATGGAAACAATGTGTGCTTTAGGCTCGCGAACAATTACGTAAATTGGCTGAGACAGACAGTCACGCGCGGTCCTTTGATTTGGAGCAACTAACAGATTATGAGGTAATAATAGCCACTCACCTGGTGGACCCAAACGACATCAAGGTGTCGTGGAACAACATTGCTGGTCTGGAGAACGTCATTCAAGAGCTCAAAGAGACTGTTATATTGCCCATAGAAAGGAAGGAGCTGTTTGAGGATTCCCAGCTAACGCAAGCTCCCAAGGTATCTTAGCTATTGGTTTATCGTTGAAAAAGAAAGAAGTTACAAAGTAGTTCTTAAGATAGATTTAATAATTTAAATTTACTTGTGCATCACTTTCAGGGAGTATTGTTGCATGGCCCACCAGGTTGTGGCAAGACCATGATCGCAAAGGCTACCGCTAAAGAGACAAAGACACGCTTTATAAACCTGGATGTTAGCATCCTTACTGACAAATGGTATGGAGAGAGTCAGAAACTAACTGCTGCTGTTTTCTCTTTAGCAGTAAAGCTGCAGCCTTGCATCGTCTTCATCGATGAGATTGGTATGTAGCAACAGTAATTTTTTTAAATTTGGAAGTAATACCTTTTATTTGTTTTTTCTTGGAAATTTTTATTTTTGTAGAGTAATATATATGATATAATATATAACATGATATATAATAATCACAAATTTAAATACTGGATGTAAGAACATAATCTATTGCAGTTGTTGATAGGTTAGATCTCTCACTCTTCTAACGTACTTTTAAATTCGACAGATTCGTTCTTGAGAGTGCGCAATACGCAAGACCATGAAGCTACGGCGATGATGAAGGCTCAGTTCATGTCCCTATGGGACGGTTTGATAACCGATCCTTCGTGTACGGTAATTATAATGGGAGCCACTAACAGACCTCAGGATTTAGATAGAGCAATTCTGCGGCGTATGCCAGCGACTTTCCACATTGGCTTACCGGTAAGAATATTTAGGATTCGATTAAGAGATTCGTTATCGTAAAATGCACAGAATACGCAACGCTTACACGTCACGATTTACATATGGTCACGTAATGACGAAATATCTGTTTCAGAATGAACAACAACGATTAGACGTGTTGAAGTTAATACTGCGGAACGAACCGATAGCTGATAACGTGGAGATCTCGACTTTGGCAAGGCAAACCGAAGGCTTTTCCGGATCGGATCTACAAGAGCTTTGTCGGAACGCATCCATCTATCGTATTAGAGATTACCTACACACGCAGTACGTATAACTAGGTTTTTCGTAATCGCGCAAATGAGTACAGTTGACTCTTCAGAACTGAAGGATTTTGAAAACATGTATGTTCGTGTCGACGTTTCGTAACGTTGTTCAATTTACAGCGATGGGTCCAGCTCATCGCATGCTGCAGACGAAGAGGAGTATCACGACGCAGTACGGCCCATTACGATGGAGGATCTACTCAAGTCGTTCAAAAACATGCGAATGTCGAAACTGCACACGGGCATATTCGGCGCGGCGAAGCCACCGGAACTAGATTAAAGAAAGAAAAAAAGGAAAAATTGTTCCGATGTATCGTTAGTTGTCTATGAATCCTTCTGACGATTTTTCACGTTGTATTGACTTGCAATGTGAGATTCTATTTTGCGTTGATTTCCTTCCGGTTAGTAAATGTTAGGTTAGTAAATTTTTATCGGCTTTATCCGGAGATATGTTGGAGTAGTTTAAAGAATCATAATTTAGATAGCATTTCAACCATTTCACGATAAAAAGAAAAGACATCGTATAGATAAATTTTTTAATGAGATAAAATGAAGCTATGCTCGATGAGGAATATCGTGACATCAAACTTGCACGATAATAACGTATGACAAAAGAGAGCAAGTTAGGAAAAGAGAGAGAGAGAGAATAATGATATATATTCAGATATTTATGTTTGCGCGAAGAAATCTCAGTTTTCTATGATATTTTAAATGCTATCCTGCATTTATGTTTCTGCAAAATTATTCAATTCAGAATGATATAATTTATTTTGAAATTAGAAATATAATAATATATACGCCCAAAGTCTCTATCATATGCATCGAATGTACAATAGTATTAAATTACGAGAAGAGTTCATTTATTTAGATAGAACGATTTTGAATAATGCTCAGCCTGTGTGATAGGTTGAGCCGATAAAGGAAACGATAAGTTTCGTTTATTGTTAGTTATATCGTTCAGATCGACACAAAAGCGACACGCGTACGGTTTTATGCGTTCGCTCGTTTGAGTCCGGAAATCTGAGGCTCCAGTGTACCTTATTCTTATAACATAATCTTACATGTAACGCATTTGATCGGTTTAAGAAGTGGCACACAAAATGCATTTCCGTCATAAATAAATTAACATTTAAATTAAAAACTGGAACTATAAACTGGAATTATGAAAATTATTTATATTAAAACTAAATTATTGATATGATCTCTCTAGTATTTAATTATTCGAGTATATTTAGATCGCGATATCGTTCGTATATTTTGTACTTTAAATATAGAGAGGCATTTAGGAGGATATAAAGAAAAAAGAAATCTTAAGATATTTTTAAGTCGAACATGTTACATATCGAAAAAGGATTCTTTTGTGTCTCAGTTTCAATTTCAGCTGTAATCACGCGCGTTTTATGTAATACAAATGCACATTGATATATTTTCCTCTTTCTTCCAATCTTCTATTTTTCTTTTCTTTTTACAAGCTGTTACGGACACGACCTTAACATTTATGTGCCATTCGCGATTTTATTTCAGACCGGCGATTATGCCTTAACACTTAGTGCGATTATGATTTTCAATTGTCCGGATATTAAAGAGTACGATTACGAATCGTAATGTACTTAACAATATAAATGTTAAAACATATATGCCGATCTTGTACATATATGTAAAAAAAGCAAAATACACAGTACATTGTTTAATATAGAAGTTATCAAGAAACGCTCATTTCAGACTTTATTCAGCAACAATTAACTTAATTGGGGAATTGCTCCATTGTTATCACTTTAATGCAACATAAAATAAGAAAATATTGAAAGAGCACTGAGATTACGCCAAAAAAAAAAGAATAAATTTGCAAAACATTTCGAGATTAAGCGCCAAAAACAAGTGGATAATATGAAATATGTATATATGTAGTTAATGGAAAACAAAGCAGAGAAATGTGTGACAGTGAACGTGACAAGCATTGAAATAAAAACGGAAGAGAGAGAATCTATAGAATACAATAAGATTTATTTCTCAGATCAAATAGTTTTAAGATAGTAACCCTAGCCAATAACTACAACAACCCGAATGACGACCCTAAGGTTTAGGAGAAAAGTTAGATAGAAAGTTAGAAGAATGATAGCGTCTCGTTTTAGAGACAGGTGTTTGTTTAAAAGGGAGCAGAACTGCGCGCACGCAGTATCAATGCGTCAGTGTAAAACGTACGTGCAAAAGGTACTTTTGTAAAAATCATTTTGCAAAACGAAACTTCGCCACGGAAAATACGAATGAAACGATCAGGACGAGATTTCACTTGCGTCAAGTCAAGTACAGGTGCGACAAACGCGACAGATGCTTCATAAAAAAACGCTCCAATCGCAGTCGACACATCATAATTAGTAAATTATACAAGTGAAATCTCGTTCTTCATAATTTTGCATTGTTTGGGCTGCGCGGCAGCGCAGCAAGACAACAAGAGGATCAAGAGAACCGAGGACGCGCGAACAACGTTCGCGCGCTCTTCGCCTCCTGCTCCTCTTCTTCCTCCTCCTCCTCCTGCTCCTCATCCCGCGAAGCGATTCTGAGGAGATCGCGGGCGCGCGCGCACGCTGACAAGAGAACGCCGCGACGGCGACTCCGGCAAGTGAGCGAGCGAGCGTGCATGCGTGCGTACGTCCCGAAACGGAACGGAACTGAACGTAGCGGAGTGAGTGAGCGAGCGAGTGAGAGCAGGCCGCCTGTGTGGCCGGCCGCGGGGGTGGAGAGGAGGGAAGAAAGCGGAAAAAGACACGCGTCGTCATGGCGTTAACGTTAACGACACGAACCGAGCGTACTACGATGTGCCGCCTCCGACGTCGCCACCGCGCAAGAAGGTGCCGGTAATATCTCGCGCTCGCGCGCGCGCACACACGCTGACGCCTACAGTCTCGGCTACAGAACGTAGGTACGCCGCGAGAGCACGGCGACGATCTTCGTCCATTCGTTCAAACGGGAAGAGAGAGGGAAGGAGAGACAGAGAGAGAGAAAAAGATCGTACGTGGAGAGACAGCGATAGAGAGAGAGAGAAGGACGGAGAACGAGAGAGAGAGAGAAAGAAAGAACGAGCAAGTGTAAGGCCAGCATTTCATTTGTCGTACGATGAGTATTGTCGGATGTACCGATTGGCTGTCAGTAGCGCGCATGCGGCCACACGTATAACATTTGTTTTACAATATGTAATATAACCTTTTCTGCACTGTTTATCGGCCACCCGCCATATTGTTTCGTACACGAAACGTTGTAAGAAGTCGGTTTCTCTGCTCGACTTCGTTACGAGAAAAATCTGACAACTCTCCGACGGATGCCCCCCCACTTGTGTATACTTGTCGGGAACCAATCGGTACGTCCGACAAACTCGTCGTATACGACAAATGAAATGTTAGCCTAAGCAGCGCGCGCGTCGTCGTCGTCGGCCGCTCTGGCTCTTTCTTTCTGTCAGCTTCGAATCGCGTCGCGGTCGCGGTCCGGTATTCACCGAGATCTCTATTGGAAGCAACATGTGACGCGTCCGGTACGCGAGATCGCGAACGACTTTGTCAAGTCGCGCGAAAGCACAGCCACCGCTGCCGACAGCATCGCCACGGCCGCCGTCGATCGCAAGAAACAGACGGCGCCGTCGCCGTGTGCCGCTCGCGTGCGCACGAGAGGGAGGGAAAGAGAGAGAGAGAGAGAGCGCGCGAGAGAAGAGGCGCTCCTGTCTCCCTCTCTTTCTGTCTCTCAGTCACTCACTCGCTCTCTTTACGGGAGAGTGCGAGCGCGCTTAACCTAAAACTCTCTCTCGCTCGTTATCGCTTCCCTCGTCCTGTCTCGTGTCATCTCGTTTCGTTTCGTACCGTTTCGTCTGGTTTCGTCTCGCGAATCTCGTCCCCGTATCCCGGTGAGTCCATCGCACCTCGATAAGCGATCCCACGAATAAAGTCCAGACGAACCAGCGAGCAAGCAGGAGCAGCATCACCAGCAGTACGTCGAATCGATTGACTCGATCTCGACGCCGCTCGATCGCACGGAACGCCGAAAGATCATCTCGCTGTCGCATCACCACCGTCGCGCGCTTCGTCCGTCAGCGATGCTAACCTGTCGCGCGTCCGTCTCGTCGAGCGTTTGTCGGCGTGAACGCGTGTGCGAGTAGTTAGTGCCGCGCCTGAGCGGACGTCCGCGAGCGAATACCTCGCTCTCTCTCTACTTCTCTCGCATTCTTTCGCTTCGTGAGTGTCACCACGTTATTTCAGGTAACGCTAGAACATCGTAGACTCTCTCCTCCCTCCTCTGTTGGCTGGCGCGGGTGATGATTGTCCTTGTGATTTCCGGGGGGGCAGAAATGTCTGTCTGTCTAGTGGAAGGATAAAGAAGTCTGCCGGACAATGCTGTGGCCAGTGCCCTTGGTAATAACTGTGTGCTTACGCAGACTATGAAGAAGCCTCTGCCTGTACCTGGCCAGTATATACCCGTTAACAGCTGAGCACCTACGGTGAACCCTTTTGAGGAAGCCTTCTGCCTATATCCTACCTCGTGGGAAACACATATACCACTGTGTATGGTGTGGGCTTTTGTGTTACGTGTCCTTTCACCAGTGTGGACAGCTTCTCTGTTTTGGACCAAGGCTCAGCTTTCTGTGGAGATTTGCTGTGTGCGTGTACATGTATGTGTATGTGTGTGTGTGTGTATGCATATGTTTGTGAATCATACTGGATCTTGGACTCTGGGCATTGGACACCGGTGATCACCATGAGGTCCATGTCCAATGAAGAACCTGCCAAGCTAAGCTTCACAGTGGACACATAGAACACTCTCTCGATGAGAATGCATAAGTAAAAGGACACATGTTCTGGGAATTGATGGGTATATGCTTTTCCTGCAGGAGACCCACCAGTGGCAGGTTGAACAGTAAAATCTCTGAGCATATTTCGGCATCAGTAACTCCCCTCCATGTTTGTCTGGAGGAACAAAGAGGACCAGAACTGGGCTCATGTGACGCCCCAGCTCACAAGCCTCAGGTGAGCTTGTGCTTTGCAATTAATTGCAATAGAATATATTATTGTTATCAAAGCTTTGTTTATTTGGTCAGCGAATCTTTGTGATAAAATTTATGTCTGTTTATTCTTTCATTTGATAACTTTCACACAGGTCAAGAACACCTTTGAAAATCAAAAAGCAGAAGAGGAAGTTCCTGAGGAGGCAGAGGGTGGATCAGTTGAAATCGAAGCAGAAGAGTTAAAACAGAGCCAATCGAGTATGGCTAACACTATCAGCAACATGAAAATGACTAATCCCATCAAGGGGCTGGTCAGCAAACGCCGTAAACGTTTTACAGAAGATGGTTTTGATCTTGATCTCACATGTATCCTTTCTTATTGAGTAGATACAAAGAAAAGGAACTTCTGTTCTAACTAGAGATATTTGTAAACATTTAGAAGTTGCCTCTCTCTGATGTCTTTCATGTAACATTGGGTGAGAGTATAGTTATTTAGTCTGTATTTCTTTTATACAGAATCTAATATCTGATGCAATAGTTTCCAAAGCACATAGTTGACATGGCAAGTAGAACACATTAATTTAAATAATACATTAATTTAAATAAAGCCCATTCTACAATAGCTGTAAGAGTATGCAGTAAGATGTAAACAATAAACAAATTGACCAATTTCCATTATTCTTGGATTGTAATTCTATTAATCAATTAGCTTACTGCTTACGTCTTACTGCATGTTCTTACGGATATTGTAGAATAAATTTAAGAAGTCCTCTACCATTTTTTCAAACAATTATATAAAATCTCGAGATATTAATCAAAGAAGATTGGCAAACCAGAACGCATATTGTTGTGAATCGAGCTTTGTATCTCATCGAAAATGACCGAGACTTACGATTGTTTAGTGATCTAATAACACAGCTGTAACACGTTTGCAATACGTCGAAAAACAATTGTCTACGCGTTGCTCGCGTCCTCATTTCACCTTCAGTTGTCAGCTGATAGGCACTTTCCCTAAGAGATAGTTGCGTCTCAACGTTTTCGACGAGATCGCGCCGATAAAGTCGGTCCGCGCGCTCTGGTTCGTCAAACTTCTTACTCAGACTGATATGTTCTATCCACACACGCGCTTTGGATACTCTTGCGTCAGACACCCTATACACTATTGAAAAATAGAACACAAATATTCCATATGAGTTTAAGGAAGTTGATGTATGCTTTATCCTTGTGTCATTCTTATATACGACAAAAATTCCTTAACTACTTTATTTTTTATATCAGATATAAGAGATAATTTAATAGCAATGGGTTTCCCTGCCGAGAAGCTGGAAGGAGTGTACAGAAATCATATTGACGACGTTGTTAAGTTGCTAGAGTCCAAACACAAAGATCATTACAAGATTTATAATCTGTAAGTTGTTGGAATAGTAACGTTGAGACAAAATCTCTCAGTTTACAGAGCAAACTTTGTTATCGCGAACATGACATTAATGTCGAAATTTGTTCAGGTGTTCCGAGAGGTCCTACGATTGCAAAAAGTTCAAACAGAGAGTAGCTACTTACGCGTTCGACGATCACAATCCACCGAAGCTGGAGCAAATCAAACCTTTCTGTGAAGATGTGCACGAGTGGCTTTCCCTACACAAAGAGAACGTAGCCGTGGTCCATTGTAAGGCGGGCAAGGGTCGGACGGGTGTAATGGTGTGTTGTTATTTACTTCATAGCAAGCAGTTTGCCAACGCCATGGATGCTCTTAATTATTACGGAACTAAACGGACTCACGATAGGTAAACACCTCAAAGATTTATACGATGGAATATACTGTAAATAGCGCGACACCCTTCGAGCTAGCTCTCTTTCACACTTGATTTCATTATGTATTATAGGAAGGGAGTGACGATACCTTCCCAAAGGAGATACGTGGATTATTATGCAACCCTTGTTCAAGAAGGTCTCAATTATCAACCAGTGACATTGATACTTCGTAAAATACAACTAGATCCAGTCCCCATTTTTAACGGCGGTCAAGGAAGTAAGTGTGTCAAGTATAAATGTACATATCATTGCTATCTTAAAATTACTAGAGATTGATATAATTATTTTAATACGATGTTACACGACGATATACAAACTATTATAATACAATTAATACACTATTACTAGACTATTATAGTATAATTAGTATATCTATTAAATTTTATAGATCTAGGAAAAATTTTTTGTTAATATTTTCCTTGACTGTGATATCGCAAGTTCAGTTTATATAATGATTAATTATAATAATTGTCTTTAATATAATTTGTGTTAGGACTTACAATACGCTTTTCATATGTTGTATTTTAGGTCTGCGTTTTATGATCTCGGAATCTAACAAAAGGATATATATGAAAGATTATGAGGTACGGAAAGGTACCTCCTCTATAAGCATCTCGCTAGAGAGCTACGTAGCGTTGACGGGAGATATACGGGTGGACTTTTTCAACAGACCGAAAATGAAGCGGAAGGTATACCTTTATTAATTGATTACCTTTATTAATTCACTCTCCGTACGATAGATCGTTCAAACGTTCTGATTGTGTTTCCAGGAAAAGATGTTTCATTTTTGGTTCAACACATTTTTCGTCCGAGAATATACGAATTCCGATTACGACAATGGCGAATTACCGAGGTCGACAAGGGCATTGAGCTGCGACGGCACGGCCATGGAGTCGCCGATGGTTATGCCGCATGTGAGATCTAGAACTGGATCGTTGGCAAGCCTTGGCCCCATGCCGCCTACTCTCGTTTTACGGATAGACAAATGGGGCCTTGATGACGCCCATAAGGATAAGAATCACAAGCAGTACAGTTCAGATTTTAAAGTGAGTAGTGCTTCATCATACTTATCTTCACAGTATGGATACGAAATTGAAACAGTAGGCCGACTACTCGGCATCAGTCCCAAAGAATTCAAGTAAAAATTGCCTGACGTTAGAGTTCCTTCATTTGGATATGAACTAACGATAAGCTTTTCGCAATCACACTCGAACGCAACGCCACACGATCATTTGCGGTCTCTTAATTATAGGTGAGTCTATTTATGCATTGTGTCGGCGGGAGCATATCGCCGGCTGCACCGGCGACGACGAACAGAACCGGGGACGGTGTGCAGCTGGGGATGGCCGGACAGGAGACGTCGAGTGAATCCAGCGAGGCCGACAGCAGCGAGTGCGACACCACCGGCGACGAGGACGGTTGGGATTCTGGTGAGTCCTCTGCATCTCTGGTGGTGAACCACCGCCAACACCATCCCCTTACACACAGCAGTAGCCGTACACATGTTAACTCTAATCCGCGACTTAGTCTGAAAGAGACAGCCAAGAGTTTGCTGTCGCGCAGCGACAAAGGCAGGAACAGTAACAGGCAGAGCGTGGCCGGCGCGAATGCAAAGTGCGCTTCCGCGTTCACGCGTCCGGCTGCTCTGGACACGTAGTTAGTAGCTAGCTCGCTTCTGGTACTTAAGAAAGAGCGGTTTTTCTCCGTCGGTACTTCGCGCGCGCGCGCGCACACATACTCATATACACACATACAACACATACATACACATACAAGCACGCAAACATACATACATACATTCTCTCTTTTTCCTCGCAAAGTCGTACGACACGTGCACACGTTACGCGTTCTCTTCGCGAAGTCGCGGAACTACACACACGGTTGATGTATTTCTATTTTCGTTTTTTCTCTGCGCGCGCGTTTATTTAAGGGCTTGGTACGCATAGAGTGATGACTAGGAGCCGGATCTGTCGTTTTCTTCCTCTTTCTTTTTCTTTTCTGAAATAGTAATCGCTATACCCCCTCTTTCTTTTTGTACAGTCGTTACGTTTTTCACATTCTTCTGATCTATTTCTCCGTGTGTTTATTTATGTTTGTTTCTGTCTTTCTTTCTTTTTTTCTCTTTCCTCTCTTTCTCTTTGTTTCTCTTCGGTACGTCGGTGGGACCATGAGCCTTTCTTTTTCCGCATTGACAATTCGTATCTTACCGATTAGAATTCGCGTCGCGGTCACGATTGTTCACGTAATACTCGATAACGTGGACGATTGATCGTTGAACATCAACTCGCGCTTGTTCGCAACTCTCTGGACCGATCTGCGTAAATCGAACAGCTCACCTTGGGAAGTAACGCCATAACTAATGTGAAATAGTTCTCGCGACGAAGAGAGGTGCACATTCGGCCCTATACAACATTTGTGACAACAGCCCGACGTTTTATCACTTCGGCACGTAACAAAACGCGGACCACCGCGAACACGGTCGCTTACCAATTCGCTCTGGCGACTCGTGTATCTTGAACTCGTGTGTATTATCGCTTTAAACGATCGCAGATAGGATGTGATAGGATATTTATCTAAATGGGTTCTTCGTAATTGCACCGGAACGACACACCATTCGGCCGTCGGCGTAAGAAATTGTTTTTGAAAGAGAAAAGAAAGAAATTAATTCTTTATATTTTGATTATTCGCAAACAAAGTGAACCAATAAAAGAAATTTTGCGCAACGGCAGATCTTTTTCTCTCATGTCTTTTCTGTTTTTTTAAATCAGAATTCGCGTCATTCTCGGCAACGCGAAGCGAATTTTATTGATTCTTCAGCGATCCATGTGTATATTTTCTTCTTTTTTAGCGAAATCGCGCGTTCGCTCGTATTTAATCGAACTTTATCTGTGACTCCGTCGGAGTAGAGAATCGCGTCGGTACGGTAGGGGAAAGAGAAGGAGAATACGCAATACACATTGAAAACTGTCAGGCTGTGCGATATCCAAGGTCTTTTGGGTATCCTCTGAAAACGAATTTTTGAGCTCGCGTTAACGCGCGCGTTAACTCATTTCAATTGGAGCACTCTATCTCGTAGGATAACCTTTGTTCTGACTATTTTTCTTGTGATTATATTATATCTAAGTGATATACGCATACATTTTTATTATTATATATACATAGTATATATATTATATGTATAAACGTTTGAGAGATAAATGAAGAATTTATAGATATACGCAAGAGTAATTACATTTGACTAGTATAAAAACATATATGTAGCTTCACACACATATACGTACACAAACAACACACACATACACGAATACACACACACTCACACATATACAACAGAGACAAACCGACATACAGAGACAGACAGACAGAGATACTTATATTCCACCAAAGTAAATCGTAGTACAACTCTTGAACAATTTATGCGCTGTTAAGATAATCGTAAACGGGACGAGGAAGAGAAGGAAAGGAGCGTAACAGCACGGACCGGACGGCGACAAAATTCGGTTTTAAGAAAGCGGTGAATATTAAAACTGAATTTTTACAAATCGCGTGCCGGGATCTTTACAGTTCGCAACAGGAAGATATATGTTTGTTTGTCGTTTATCGTGACGAAGTACAAATTACGTAGAGATCAGCTTTTATACATGTCGTACGTTCGTTAAACCATCTCGGGATTTATATGCAAATGCCGCGGGTGCTGCCGACTAGACAGCGATTTTTCTACTCGGTTTACAACGCAAACGCGGATCAAACGGGACTCACAAACCTATAAGTAGTAAAAGTTCCGAAAAAAAGAGAGAAGAACGAAACGAGACACCAAGGTAGCGTACAAAGGGAGAAGAAAAAATGAAAGGGAAAATCTGAGCTAGCTAGATTTAAAACCGATTGTCTTTCTACTGTCTATATTGCTTTTTAATGTATAATACAGACAGGATTACACTTAGATACATACGTGACTTTTGTTGCGAGTGTATGTAAATATACATAATATATACATATATTCGTACATACATATATATATATGTATATGATAGGAAGTATAAGTTATGTAATTGAGTAATGGATATATAAATCCGACGTACACCGGCTTCGGGGTTGAACGAATAGTTATCACGTAATTGTCCGTCGAGTTGTGCAGTTTCCTTTTCGCTAGATTAATTAGGTGAAATTGTTAAGTAGAGGTAATATTGATAATTGTAATTGTCGATTAGAGCGCGATACGAGTAAGCATCGTTTAGTATTACTTTGTCGAATTAAAGCCGAGGAACTATCTCTTTGTACAAGGCTGGACTTGTGATACGGTGAAAATATAAATTGCGCGTCTTTTTCTCCCCCGCGACGACGACGAATCAGATTTTATCGGCGCACACACACACGGTATCATCGACGATTAGTAACATTTACATATTAGTATAACGTGAGTGAAAAGAAAGAGAAAAAGAAAAAAAATAAAGGGAACGGAAAGATTCTGAGACGTCTCCCGTCTCGTCGTGTGTTGATAACGAAGTCCGTTTCTAACAATTAGTGGAAGTGGAACAAACAGACAGACAAATAAACAAACATAAGCACACCCACTCACACTCACTCACGCACTCTGTACGTTCCGCCGTATCTTTGAATACATAGGAGACAATTATATTTATTGTATAATTAGGATTCCGTTAGAGCCTCTGATTAAGGATAAGATGAATGTCCATAGAAGATTTCTCCGCGAAAAGACCTCCGCCAGGAGAGCGTCTGTAATCGCGTTCGAATTCGTCACGCGCGTGGAAATATGTGAATATTAGTCTGTTCAAACGTATAGCGAGATGGAGCCCGCGAAGTTTATAGTTCGCGAAGAGTATCGTGCGACTCAAAAGTTCTCGAGATCTATATTTCCCCTTAATGCCCGCTTCCCATTCCCTCCTCCTCCTCAAGTTAGAATTAAGATTCGCGAGACACGAATTTGTAAATACGTAGCGATAAATTATGTCGGTGTGTATACTCGCGAGGGCCGATTCGACTCGTGGAGTACACGCAGAGGATGTCACACAGTGACGCGATCTTAATTTTAACGATAAATGTGTTCCCCGGTGCGTTACCGAGGTCGATTTTTCCCTCAGAGCATAGCAATATCGAGGTATCGCACGAACTTTGGCGGAAATGAAAGAGTAAGAAAGAGTATCAAATGTCTAATAATGCTTTCCCTCTTTTGTTCTAAAGAAATTCTTCTTTGTGCAAAGAAAAAGAGTTTAGGTAAAGTGTTATTGGACGTCATTTTCATCGGGGAAGGATAAAGAAACGGGAACGTCTTTCTTGAAAATCGACCAGCAAAACGACTATAACGACCGCTTCTTTTGGCCTCTGTCGCGAAAATCGACTTCGAGTCGCACGAGGAGGAGCCGGTCGTTGAAATCACGATCGCGCGAATCGCGGGATCTGTACATATATATGCGTCGCACGGCGTGCAGATTTTCCGGAGACGCTGCTGACTCCGTGACATCTCACGCCGCTCGCAACGAATCCTCTCGCCAACCCCTTTGATTTCCCCCCCCCCCC